AAATCTAAGTCCTTGGCAGAGTTTGAAGATTGAAATGCGTCAAAAAGATATTGAAAATTGAATTCATTTCATTTGTTTGAAATTGTTTACTTTTTCTATTTTAGATCTAGTCCAAGTTGGCATTTTATGCTGAATAATATTTGATAGTGTTAAGATAAAGGAAGATACAAAGGTGTCGCGAAAGCTCAGTTGGTTTAACCACTGATTATCACTCCTGAGGTCCCGGGTTCGATCCTGGGTTACACCCTTGGGATTTTTCAGATACACTTTCGGTGTTTCCTACCTCGCATGTATCAGTGCTATACACTGGGCATGTAAAAGAACCGAGGGGTCTATTCAATAAGAGCAAGGGACTGGTTCCCGGGTTCCCTTGTATCTTATAATTGTCTAATGTTTACAATGTATACCTGCTAAGAGTGATCGTAAACGATTTTAAAGCAGTATGATGTAGACAAAGTAGAGACTTCATTGATTATAAATACTTATTAAATGTTTAATTACAATACAATTGGTATTCAAGTCATTCTAATAAAATTTATCGTAAAAACAGAGTAAATCAATAATTCTGGTAAAATTCAACGATTTTAAATATTTAGGCCAACTTACATTGAATCTCTGAACGGGAAGACCAGTGGTCTCAGGGTAAGTTTTTTCGTCCAGAAATTCGGTTCCACCATTGATTTAATTTTCACCTTACTCAGGCTTCATTTTCTTTATTTCTGTATTAGATGTAACAATTTCATGTTGTGAACAGAAGTGGCATTTTAGCGATGACGTCATCGCTGTAACTAGTGACAATGACGTAATGACGTAAAATAACGTCAAATATATTGTAACGACGTTGGTAAAACGTCATAATGAGCATGATAATATGCAAATACTAAAGTTGTTGAATTAACATAAAGGAATAGTTCCCGTATAAAAGGACACAAACCACTCTCGGTGGTGAGCTAGCTTTTCACCGACAGGGTTTGTGTTCTTTAAAACGTTATACAATACTATATGGTTACGATTGGAGTGTTAGGCTTTTGATTTGTTTTGACTTTACGCACGATATTGTGTCTTAAAAACTGCTATAATTGTCGGGAAAGTATTTCAAATCATTATTTCATTTTCATTCAGCCTATTGTGTTTATTTTTCCCTGTAAAGTGTTCCTCATTCAATTCAATGTTGATTCTCATGTTTTAATATTATCTAACAATAACTGTGGTAGAATCAGGAACGCTGTTTTAACATGCCATTACATTAATTTCTGTTTACAAAGTGCAAACCTGATAAATTTAGCTTTAGTCACCCCCAGCTTTATCAGCTAGGCACCTCAGAGAATGGAATGTTGTTACCTCTTATATATTACTTTGAAAATATTAAATTGATAAACAATGTATCGGATAGATTTTTTATTTAACATATTAAAGTCTCTTTTACATTTGACTAAAACATTTGGGACTTTTTGTTACAGATATGACCCTTGTCATATTAATATATGTGCGCTGCATGAACTCGAGGTTTTTTTTAAACAGGTTTTTGTTTCATTTTTAAATAAAATTGGAAACATGATAAATAGAATACCAAACAAGTATATCTGATATTATAAAATGTATCAGGCTCGGCAGATAAAAATATAAAGCGTCGGTAGAGCCTCGCCTTTTTTTCTCTTAGCCTTGCCTGATAAATTTTGGAATACAAACACTAGCTAGCATGGTATACAGTATATATTTTTTTCTAGAATTATACTTTTTTACAGAGTCCCAACACTTTGCAGAGTCCCTAGCTTTGACTGAAACACTGTCTACTCTAATGCACCTTAAATGCTCTTAAAAGAAGTGCTTACCAAGTGCACATTTTGTAATCTTTAAAGTGAATTCAGTTATTATACACAAATGCATTTCTGCAAAACGTTAGTGTTAATTGCTCTCGCATCACCCTAACCCCATGGGGACAATTATTTGGCTACCTTCAATTTCTCACGCAAAGCGCACCTGTGACAATTCAGAAACAAGTTGGCCTTCACATTAATTAAGGCCAAGGCACGCTCCTGACAAACGAATTGTTGTCGGTTTGTTGATCTTGTTTTTTTTATAATTTTATTTCTTTTAAATACGTAACAAGCTAATCGAACCTAAAAATTAGTTCAAAACTGGCAAAGAAATAACGCAAAGCAAAAAATAGGTTTTAAACGGAAAAAGTTTATTTTAAAAAGTATTTGTGCAAATTAGATGGGCGAAAGAATTAAGAGTACGAAAATATGTAGACCGAAGATTCACGATTTCCATGATTCAAAATTTGTAAACCCCTGTCTTTCTTTTCAACATCCGCAAACGTGAGTGCGACAGAAAGTAAATTTATCGCAAATATATTTCTAAAATTTGCTTATCATATGCGGTAGTTTGTTTGATTTGTAATTTATTTGTGTAGATTAAAGTGTAAAATTTATATTTTGGTGTACATGTACCGCGTAGATCGTCAAGTTCTCATTTTATAGCCAGTTATTTCGACCGGAAGAGCTTATTTACATGCAAATTTAGTGGGTGGGGTGTTGCCAAAAGCTCAGATCAAGTCGGTTATATCCTTTATTCAGATGTAGTCGCGAACTGCAGACCTAATTTAAGGCGTGATTTTGGGGAACAAAACATTTTTATATTCAAAACTTTGTGCCCACACACAAGGATCCAAATTTCTACTCGTCCTGTTGGGGACGGGTCGGTTGGGGACAGGTATCCTGGACTAACCAGTTCTCAAACCTCTAAGCATTCAAGAGGTCTTTAGTGTAAATAAAATATATCTTTATAAAAAAAATCTTTACATATGTACACTTTAATCTTTATGTAACATTTCTGTGAAATTTGACTGAAATTCAACAATTAAAAAAGCTCTATTTCCGTCTTGGAAAAGCACAACCCTCTGTTTTAAAACTGACATGGCCTCTTAAAATAAAGAACCTAATCTCAAACCCCTTAAAGTATCTCTAAAATTCTACTGTTAAGTTTAGCCAATGAAGTGATTGTTATATGACTATCACATGACAATGAAGTACCCTACACGATGCAGGTACCTGCTTTAAGGTATTTTTGTCTATAATATTCATTTTCACAAATAGTTAATTGTGTATTTATGGGACTTATAAAGGTAATAGCAATTTGTATGAAATTATGCTAAGTAATAAAATATGTTATGTAAATATTTGTTCCTATGCACTGCTTTCATTTGACATCAGCACACATGTTTGTCACAAACTAAGCTTTTATACACACAAGTTCAGGACATCATAGTCACTTCTAGTAAAAAAATAACAGCGCATGAATGAAAGGTTTGAAAATAGGTTGGGTGTGAGATTAGGTACTTATACGATACCCATACCCTAAGGAATGGGAATTTTGCGTCGTTGTAAGGCAAAATTCGAAATTTTATGTTATCATGTATTCAGCTGTTCAGTGTATTTTTTATCACATTTACCCCGACAGTTTATTTTGACAAAAGGTATTTATTTTTTAGTTTTGTTCATAAATAGGTCAAAACTTATGTAAATACACGCTGTCTTAATTGTTTTTCGTTCCGCCCGATTTTCTGCGGAACATGCTATGGGTTTTTGAGCAATTTCGATATGACGTTACTTTACCCAGACTAGTGTAATGAGTAAAGGTGACCGACAAGGCTTGACCGACATCAACTAAAACAAACCTGTAACGTCTTATATATTGGACTACTCATTACACCATTTCCTACCATTGGTTTCAATAGTTTGTAATTTTCCTACCATTGAAATCAATAGCTATTTAACAAATCAAACAAATTACTTTAAGTTGATTTATTTTAGAATTTGGAGGGGATTTTTTTCTGAGATAGGGGAAAAATACATATGATTTTGAGACGGGAAGTTTTGAACGGTACCCATATTCGGCCCCAAAAACGACCAAACAAGTGCCCTGTCGATGTTCAAGATAAACATCGCCTATGCAATAATACCTTGCCGATGCAAAGACTGCTAAAAATTCTCATAGTTGATTTCTTTACATAAATTTAACGAACCAAAGTCAGAAACAAAGCTTGTGTTTTAGGTTATGTATAACTCACGCACTTTATAGGGCATTGTCAGGCACTTTAGTTACGCCCGTATCCAATTAACAGTGCGTTAAGAGCTTAAATTATACATAACCTAAAACACAAGATTTGTTTTTCGGTTTTCCAATCCTTAAATGTAAACAAACTGATTTTGAGAATTCTACATTTCTATTACATCGGCAAATTTAACACTTGTCCTGCCCGGACGAGCATTCAACAATTTGTACTCGTCCTGCATCAAATGTCTACTTGTAAATACGAGAGGACGAGTGGAATTTTCGATCCCTGACACAAAAATACTTGCCTCTACTGAGGCTGAAAATTACATGAACTTTTTAATTTGTGATATGTATTCATTTTTGGGTCATATCGAAATTGTAACTTAATATTTATTCTTGTCATCTTTGACTTTTATTTATCATATTTTACAGATGGGATCTCAGTGAAGGATGTCAATGCTCATGATTTTACTAGGGCCTTTGCTTGCCTTTTTTTAAAAAAAGTAAAGTAAAATTTAAGTGAATTTCAGTATGAAAAGTCCCAAATTTATTAAATTTATAAGGTATAACTATTTTTAATAATGTTTGAACAGGAAATTAATTTTTGTGAAGTCCTTTATTTTGGCCCCTGAAAAATGTTAGTTTCCTTTGCTTAAGTATGGAATTTCATCAATGAAAAAATAAGGAAATATTAAATGGCTTACATTGCATAAGCTCGTTACTGCACCTTGTTCTATTAAAACTTACTTCATAAAACGTTTCCTAAAATCATTTTCCACATTAAATAGCTAAGTTTCAATTTATAATCTTGATAAGGGATCAAATCATTAAGAGATATATACTTAAAGCAAATAGATTTGTATCCTGTAAAGAAGATTGTTTACTTTAGGTCTGGTAAAATGAAGGTGCCAGAGTGGACCGACTTTATCAGACTGGAAAAGATTCAAGGAGCTATCCCCCTATGATGTCGACTGGTATTTTATTAGGGCTGGTAAATCACTTTTTTCCTATTTCAGCCATTTTCAGGCTATTATTTCATATTTTAATGTAATGTCTCCATGTGATGAAAGATTCTGTCTTGAAATAACAAAGTGAGAGTATTTTTATAACTGATTTAATTCTGATCAGGAGACCTGTTCACCGTTTAATCTCCAATACCTTAATCTACAGAATTTGTATACTGGATTGTCATATTCTGAATTTGAAAGTTATAGGATTTCAAAGTCGAAACACATCAAAACGAGGCTTGCACTGGCTCTTTCAAATTTAGTGAGAAAAACCACCAGTTGGTATTCTGTACCAGTGATTTTTCTACTTATATAACAAACTCCGAAAAAAGGCCTCTTCCCAATTAAAATTTTCTTTAAAATCATGCAGTTTTCCCAAAAATATAAACTTAAACCAGCTTTTTTACTTTCCAAATCAGCAGTTTAAGCGATAATTTTTCAGTAGTTACAAACTAGTGTGAATTTCTAATGATGAATCTCTATATCTTGATACCTAGTGAGAGTACAAACTGATTTAATGAGTCTGACTAGAAATTCACACAAAATAATCACTTATCAGGGCCAAAAAACCTTCTTTGTAGAGGCCGAATATAGGCTGCTTCCCCAACCAAACTAGCCTCTTTCTTGTCCCCAGTTTGGTCCTCAAAATTCCCCAGTCTTTTGAAATTTCCCATAGAATTTAGAACAAAATTAAATGATGGTGTTGAATTAAGGTCTTTTACTGCCTTATTAGTATTTCCCAGTGCTTATTGCTTTTGCTTTTCTATTTTGAAGAACTTGTTAAAAGTTTGTGTTAAATTTGAGACCCCTTTTCCCAATGCAAAGTATGCAAAATCACGCATATTTTCCCCAAGAAAAAGGCTGAGGCCTCTTCCCCAAAAATAGTGTTTTGGCCCTGACTTGTGAATAAATTGCTTTGTAACTTGGGTATCTGAAAAATGTAGTAAAGCAAAGCAATGAAGACAAACTGATACTTTAATATAAAAAGTGTTAGCCACTATTTTTTTGCTAATTTTTTGTTACTCTACGAAATACCACAAAAGTGTGTGTCCTTATATAGGTCAGCAGCTTCAACCTTCAGTTTGAATAACATAAACAGTCTTGTAGTATAATTTCGTTTGTTCGATCATTAAAATGAGTCAATTAATAAGTCGACCTAGTAGCTATGTATGATTAACCCTTTGTCAATTCGATGTAGATAAATATCAAAATTCAATATATAAATTTGTCTTACCTGATAGTTACAGTACATATAACAACCTTAGTGCAATAACTGGTTCACTCCTATTAATCCTATTAAATTTAAAAGAACTTAACCTGATACTGCACTAAGGAGATGAAATAGTATTTATTGAATGATAATTGTATACAGATAATTGTACTGGATCATGGAAGTAATGTAAACTGTGTGACTTTCTTATGATGATAATTTCTATTTCTTGACAATCAGTGAGAGTTAAAACTGATTTAATGAGTCTGATAGAGAAAGTCACACATCTTTACTAAATTTGTAGAAATGATTTTTGTGATTATATTATCCATGAATTCTAAATCTAAAATTTGATAACAGCTTATTGCTGCTAGTAGTGTAGCAATCTTCAAAGATTATTTTGCTGGGAAAAAAAAGATTTATCTAGAAAATTTGATTTTTAAAATAAACAAGATTTTATAATTTGAGAATGAATAAGAGACAGTAGAAGTATTAACATCTGAAACATCTCAAGTCTTAGTAGCTCTGTGTCTTTGATAAATTGTGTCTGAATGACATTGATTAAATGTTTAACGTTGAGAACTTGTTCCAGTGATGAATAAAAAATTACGTGATACACCATGAAGGGATATTTAACTGATTTAATTCTGATATGGAACTTAAAACCTTTGTTTAATCATATTTTATTGCTTTTACATTTTATACAAAAACAGATACATTGTCACATGTAAACATACTACAAAACAGTAACGAATACATTTACAGTTAATACATGGATGTTATAGTTATTATAAAAAAGCAAAAGGGTCGGGCCACAAGTTTTGACAACATTAGAGAATTGGCCCTTCCCACACTTAAAACCTTGATGAGCGTTCTCCACGTTATGTTATACGTCCGAAAGAATTTTTGGTTCTGCACTGAAAGTCTAGAATAGGCCTTTTGATATACAATGTATATAGTCACAAACGTTAAAAAAATATATTGAATTACCAGGTACTTTGTTAATCAAGTTTATTACATTTAATACAATATAAGATTCATGTTTCTGTAATGTTCTGGTGATGAAAAAAATCACTTGATCAACCATTTGTGAGAGGATTTCAAACTGATTTAATTCTGATATTGGAACACTTGCAGAAAATAGTATTCTTTCAAATTTCATACCATGTTCTACATTTCATTAGGTAAAACTCAATTGTTGAAATGTGAACATGTATCTTGTATGTTTTCTGTACTTCAGTGTTAGTCATATTACAAATTTTAGTTAAAAAGATATTTGATACTTGTAACAAAAATGTTAGTAGATAAAGTTGCGGCCATAATTATGAACACTTCATTTCTTACCATATAGTACCTGAAAACATTTTTGGTATTAAGAAGAATTCTTCATAAATATGTAATAGGCAGTTAGATTTGAACATAGAATTAGTCATTCATGTGATTCCCTAGTTACTAGTAAAGAATTAAATTCTTCATTGACAATCGTGTGTTGTATTTTCAGCATCTATCTGCAGACACTTGTACATCAGATCACCAGCTGGAGTCGGAGCTTTTGAGACTATCTACGGAGGTACGCTTGTCATTATTTTTAGCTTTGTTTATAAATTTTCTACAGTTTTCAATGTTATGAAGACCAACCAACCTATCTAACACTACTTTGATTGTGATTGAATAAAGATTATAACTTGTTACGTGCACATCAGTGGGCGTCCGTGGCCGAGTGGTTACGGTCGTTTACTTCAAACAAGTTGCCCCTCACCACTGTGGGTTTGAATCCAGACAGGGACTTTGAATTCTTTCATGTGAGTAAGCTAGCTATCCAGCTAGCTTACGAAACGTCTGTGATTTTAATCTGGTACCCGTTTGTGTCTGAAGTAATGCATGGAAGGGCACATGCATATAGTTATTTTTAAGACTGCCGATTTGCCTCTGAAAGTAGAGCATATGGATTACCAACTTATTTAAATTTATCTGATCAAGGGGTAGCATGTGAGTCATAGTATAGTACATTGTAATTTTTATGCCCCTACCATATAATGGCTGGTCATATAGTGTGACCTTGTTCCGTCATTCCGTCATCATCTGTTTCCATTCATTATCTTAGTATCGGTTGCACGCATTCAACTCAAATTTGGCATATGGATATGTCATCAGAAAATACAGGTCAAGTTTGAACTTGGTCAGGGTTTGATGATTTTTGGCAGAGTAATGCCCCTTTCACTTTGAAAACAATATGAAATTTTCAGTTTCCGTTCATTATCACCCCAACAGTATTACACATTCAACACAAATTTTACATATGGATACATTAAAAGAATGCACAGGTCAACTTTGAATTTGGTCATGGTTCAATGATTTTTGGCAGAGTTATGCCCCTTTTACTTTGAAAATAATATGAAATTTTCAGTTTCCATTCATTATCTCCCCAACGGTATTACAAATTCAACTCAAAACTTGACATATGGATATGTCAAAGGAATGCACAGGTCAAGTTCGAATTTGGTCATGGTTCGATAATTTTTGGCAGAGTTATGCCCCTTACATTTGAAAAAAAAGAGGAAATTTTCAGTTCACATTCATTATATCCCCAACAGTTGTACATATTCAACAACAAATTAAAGATATGGATATGTCATAAGAATGCATTGGTCAAGTTTGAATTTGGTCATGGTTTGATGATAGCTGACAGAGTTATCCCTCTTTAACTTTGAAAAAAAATCAGAAATTTTAAGTTTCCGTTCATTATCTCCCCAATGGTTGTACACATTCAACTCAAGTTTGACATAAAGATACATCTTAGGAATAAGCATGGAATAAGCATTTCAAGTTTGAATTTGGTCGTGGTTTAATGATTTTGGACAAAGTTATCTTTCTTGAATGTTGGAAAAATTTTGAATTTTTAGTTTCAGCACTCATACTTTTGTGGAAATGTATGTAGCCATTATTTTGGCTACAAATATGCATCATATGCAATTTACAAAAGGTTAACACTGAATAGTTTCAGTGCCTTGAACTTTGTATAAAAATGGTTTGTCTTAACATTGAATAGTTTTAAGGGCTTTGAACTTAAAATGAAAAAAATAATTTGTGCAAACTTTGGAACTAAATATTATAACATCTGAAATCTTGGTTGCATGCGGGGGCATCCGTGGCATGATGACACATTTCTAGTATATAAATAATTATATACCGATAATTGTACTGGATCATGGAAGTAATGTAAACTGTGTGACTTTCTTATGATGATAATTTTATTTCTTGACAATCAGTGAGAGTTAAAACTGATTTAATGAGTCTGATAGAGAAAGTCACACATCTTTACTAAATTTGGAGACAAGATTCTTCCCAGCATTTTTGCTTATGTGAGAAAATTGTTTGTACATCTTATAATGTTAGATTAAATCTTCTGTAACAAAAACAAATGCACCACTTGTTACATTAGATTAAATCTTCTGTAACAAAAAAGAAAAAAAAATGCACCAAGTCTCGTAAATTCTGGATTGATCATTTTTCTGTTTAAAAATGTTTAGTAAGAAAGTCATCTTTGTTCAGTTTGGTTCATAATCGTGAAAGTACATCTAAGGAGACGAAATATAACTGTTAATCTGAGACATATATTATAATACTCCTCAATATATTAAAATGTCTTTATGTTTTATACAATATAACATTTGTTGTTTCAAGGTCAATACTGACAGGGATCTGCCCTTAGTCATTCCTGTATTACTTGTAATTAAAACAAAACAAAAAAATCCCTCATCAAAAATTAAATATGGTTCAAATTCTTGAATTAATTGAATAATATCTACCATACTAATGCATTATGATGTCATGATATATAGAATAATTATAAGTTGGTTGTTTGTAGGTCGCCGCCGACGTGGAACTGCCCCAAGTCATTTCTGTAAGGCCACTGGATCCATCTCCAGACGTCTGTTACAGAGTCTTGAGAACCTGAAGATTGTGGAGAAAGACCCAAATGGGTAAGTTAACATTTATATATATAACATTGATACAATTTGTGAAATGGACATGTGTTGTTGTTGTAGTCGGGTTTAGTTGTTAAGGTCGTTGACTAAACCACTTGCCCTCTCACGGATGTAGGTTCAAGCCCCTAGCAAGGGTGGGATTCTTTAATATGAGAAAGCTAGCCCATTGGTTTATTGTGATCCTCCTTTACAATAGAAATGGAAGGGTTGCCATTTGACAAAAAACTGAGTGAGACTAAAAAAAGGATTGGAGCACCATACTAAATACTGTAATATACTGGACAAGAATGATAAAATGCTAAAATCTTGTCTTTTTACCCAACGGAATGAACTTTAACAGGTCTAATTCATATTTTCACACCAAATTAAGTACGATAATGAAGGGAAAATGTAAAAATCGGCGAAAAAAACGATATTTGTCTTTTTTGTGATCATGATTTCTGCAAGCGTCTAGAGGTACTGCTCCAATCCTGTATTGAGTTAAATCCCAAAAAAACTGGTTGTGGCAAAAGATTGATAACAGAGTGTGTAATTTTTTCACAAAAGGATTATGTTGAAGAATTTAAGTATTAGAGTAAATGCTATAGTTAAAGGGATCAGGCTAGCTTATATATTGGTATAGCCATACTTTTATTAAAAGTTGGGTAATATTTAATCTTTGAAAGTTGTAAAGAATTGTTTCAAATGTGAAGAGTTGTGTCATAATTTATTCTGATTAAGGATAGCTGGGCTTGAAATTTTATTCTTGCATGCTTGCAAAATGCTAGTAGTTCTTTTAGAAGGCAAATGCAGTGTGGATTAAGATTGTAAGATGGGTTAAATCAAGATATTGTATTCCAGCATGATGAACTTCTTAAATCTTGACAACTGTGAGAGTTAAAACTGATTTAATGAGTCTGACTGGAAATAAATGAAAGTAAAAGCTGAAAATTATTGTGAGCTGGATTTCATAAATACAGAATTGATGTATATAAATTTTGTGCACACTTTAGCTGGAGTTGAGCCGATGGTATGACACTACTTGTCTACAAGATTTTTGACATATCTTTCTTATTGAGTCTAGAAAAAATATTGCTGTGCTCACAAATTTGTTTGCTAACAACCATTTGTGGCATTTAAAATACATGTACTGAACAAAATTAAAATACTTGACCAATTTATAATGTAAATTATAAAGAATTTGTTTATTTATTCATTTAACTAAATTAGGGTCATGTTGCAATGATTAAGAATTAGTAGATAAGATACTCGTTTAACTAAAAAGGGTCATCTTGGTCACATTGTTAACCTGTGATATCAGCTTTCTTTGAAAAAAAATACAACAGATCTTTTAATATAGCTTACAGATGTAAGTACAAAATGTGACATGAACACTATTTGCAGAAACCAATTATGAAGCAGTACAAGTAAGTGTTTGACATACTTTTAATATTTATTTATTTGAGTTTATGTTTTATATTTCAGTGGCCGCAGGCTGACCTCACAGGGCAGACGTGATTTGGACAGAATTGCCGCCCAGATCAAGTCAAAGAAAACAAGTGATATGTGATCTGTAAATAAATGAAAAAAACATTGAAAAGATTTATTGTTTATTCGGTGCATAGTTGTATGTTCCGCAGCATAGTGCCTTACAATAAAATATATAAAAATGCAGAGAGAAAGAGAAAAAAACAACAAAATCTGAAATAGCTGGTTTTGAAATCAGATATGGTTTATGAAAGTTGAAAGATACTATGTTCTTGAAGCAGTGAATCGTTATACTATGTGTGGTCAATTTTAATAACACTAAAGATTTTTAGTCTCCATGTTTTGATCACATTAAATGATGCCTAATTGCATGAAATGAATATGTATTTAAAGAAGATTCTTGCATACATCTTCAAGAAAATCCCACGTAATGGGATCATTATGCCTAAGAAATGATGCTTAGATAATTAGTACAGATAAAGTGATATATTTTGTAAGAAAATACTTTTGTTTACATTTTGCTACTTGAATGACAAATAATTCACATTCCAATTTCTTTAGGTGATCGGCATGTAACATGCTCTAAAATCATTTTACAAACGTTGCACTTGTGTTATTCTAAAAAAGGGGAAAATATCGTTTCTGCGGTATAATATGCCATTAAACTTGTTTCTGGCGGAAAATGTTTGGGTGTTGATAATAGTATTGAGACCCAGAGTAAGATGTTTCTTGAAAAAAAAAATGATGAAAGTACAACTACTTAAATATGAAACATGCAGTTACTGAATCCCGAATATTTGTAGGTGATTTTTTTTAACAAGTTAAAAAGAAAATCTTATGTGACGGATTTGTAAGTTGCTTCCGCCGGTCACTAGCATATGCTTAAAACATGAGGCGCTTTCAGACGTATTAGTGGCAACTCGCTCGATGCTGTTCTAGAAACATTTTACTGAGTTATTTCCCTTGAGCACAAAAATTTTGGTGACTGGTATGGTTATCGTTTAACTTCTTGCGCCGCTCTTAAAAGCAGCACGCCTCCAGATTCAGGCTAATTTTCATGAAAATTTGAAAATGTATTGAATGTGTAATAATTATGTGAAGTAACCAAAAGATAGCAGTTTATACATTATCAATAGCACTTACAAACCACGTAAAGTACTAAAAAGTCAAATTATGCATAAATAGCCTTTACTGCGTTAGTAACGCAGTAGAAATACAGTTGAAAATACTTAAAAATCAGTCATTAATCGCACATAATATGTAAAATATTACTTGAAACTTATTTCTTTTCCTTACATCTAAGAACATTTTTCTCAGGTTTGATTTAATTGAAACATTTTGACTCCTCTTTAACGAAATTAATTGGTTGATAGAGTATACGTGCATTGGGCCTTTATAATCACAAGTAGGAAATATTTTTTATCTACAAAGGAAGTTTGTCTTTATACCTGGGCGTGTGTGTGCATACATTTGTGTCGGCGCACCTTTGGTGGTTTTGAAAACTGCTCGACTTTTGCTAAGCACCGTAAGTTAATTTTTATATTATCACAAGTGTAAAACAGATTTCTTTCCAATTTTTAAAAATTCTGATTCAGCAATGTTTTGAGATAGTCCCGGTTGACTTATTCATAACAACTCGTCTAGGTAGCATGGAAAGCATGCACCCCAATATTTTCATGTTTTTGATGAGTGTACAATCACATGTCTTGTTATACGGCGACATTACCTGCTTATTGTCATTCAGTGGCTTACATTTCTTACATTTGTCTCTTCGATATGGCAAATGACAACATTAGGCGGCATTTGAGAGAAGCAGAGTTATGGAGGGCTGTAGGGATTGCGCAGCAAGGGGCCATCTTCCACCAGGTTAGTGCGGTGCTTGGTGTACACCACAACGTCATACCAGAGTCTTGGAGAGATACCAGCTCTATATGTTACAACCGTCAAGAGGCATGCTGGAGGTCGGCAAAGGGTCGCAACACCAGCTCAAGGTCGGTTTTTGGTCGTTCAGATATGTCGTACAAGGTTTTTCGACAGCAACTTCTCATCGACATGATCTTGCTTATGCTGCTGGACTCTGTGTTTCCACGCAGACGGTACGTAGAAGGCTGCATGAAGGTAATTTGCGGTCGAGAAGACCTTGCATTTATAACGGTATACCCTTTACGTGTCGACATCGCCAGGCCCGTTTGGAATGAACCTTGGAGCATACACGGTGGACCATGCAGCACTTGAGAGTCCAGGTTCTACATAGACTTTACTTATAGGCCAGCTAGAGTCTGGAGAAACGAGACGAGGTGAACGGTTTCAGGCGGGCAAATGTTGCTGTGGAGATGGGTCAGTTATGGTGTGGGGAGGCATCAGTTTTGATGGACGAACCGACCTGGTTGTGCTAAATAGAGGCACATTGACAGAGTCAACGATACATAGACGACATCTTTAGAAAAACCAGATTAGGTTGTATGCTGGAGCAGTCGGCGATCAGTTCATTCTAATGGACGATAATGCCCGCCCCCATAGGGCCAGGGTGGTCCAGGGCTGCCTAGAGAGGTTTTTTTTTAGCGCATGAAACTGGTCAGCTCGCTCACCTGACTTAAATCCAAAGAAAAACATGTCGAAGCGTGCAGGTTAGAATTCCCGCTCGTCAGCTGCAAACCCACATTTTTATAATTATTTACAACCTTAAATTTTTTAATATAAAAAAAAGCTAAAGTTTCCGTGATTAGCGCAAGAAACACTTTTCATGAAAAAAATTATCATTAAAAAAACTAGGGGAAGCTTTGATCTTCACCAGAACTCCGGGAAAATCTGAAAAAACGGGGATAATTTTTCAGCCGGGCTTTCGTTGCATTTTTCATTTAAATTTGTTTTGTTTGGGGATTGGGTGGGCCCAAAAAAAAACAAAAAACTAACCAAAGATTTTTTTGGCTAAAAAAGGGAAAAAAAAAATTTGGCCCTTGGGAAAAAAAATTTCCCGGGGGTTTTTACAAAAAAATTTAAAAAAAACAAAAAAATTATCATTTAGAACTCCCTCCTCGGTAACATTCCTCCCCGTGAAGGGGATAGTTTAGCGTTTCCTTTTTCACCAACACTAATAATGGGCCCCGTAATACTAGCAAAAATGTAATATCTTCATAAATTGTGTGAAAAATAAATATAAGAAATAAAGAAAATAAATTAAAGTAAACCCAATTTTTAAATTTTTAAAAAAAAAATTTTAAAACCCTTTTTTCAACATATTAATGTATAAAAATTTTGTTTTAAAAAAATTAAGATTATTATAAATTTTTTCATTTGGGGCAGAAAAATTTTTACCAAAATTTAAAATCAAAAGGGTTAATTTGGGAATTTTTTTTTTTTTTTTTTCCCCCCAACTTTCAAAGGGGGATTTTAAAAGTGGGGAATTCCCCGAAGTATTTCGGAAAATACCAAATTCCCCATAAAAAAAGAAAAGGGTTTAAAAAGATTTTTAAAAGGGGTTGGGGGTTTATGAAAATTAAAAGCTTTTCATACTGTTTTACAATATGTGTTATTCTGTTACCAATGTGGATGCATCCTAACTTTATACAAAATTTATCTCGCTGCCAGGCGTAATGAGTAGACAATTAAGCAAACCTGACACAATTCATTTTCTCTAGTACATGCATGATTAATAACGCCAGATTCTGCAAAAGCAAGTCATTAATTTGACAAAATTGTTTATAACTTTAAAAGTGCAGTTTAGGGAAATATAATTATGTTCATAGTCATGTTGAATGATGGTCCAACCGCCCGTTTAAATACAAAAGATACTTTCAGTATCAAGTACGGATCCCGGACCCTCACCGGTTTTGCCCATAAAGGTTTAGTTCGTCAGCACAAAGTGGTGTTCATTTACCTCCGTGATATTTACATTGTGTAAAAGCCAAGAAAATGAAGAAACCTCCCAGATAACCTCAGACAGGAAAGCGTTAAGAGATCGGAGCGCGGGTTCAAGCCAATTTATGTGTTTTGGTGTGCTTAGTGTCGCACAAAGATATAAAGAGGCTACATAAAAAGATGCCATGCACTCAAAAAAATTCCGAACTTTATGGACACAGCAATGCATTACATTACATGTTACTTACGTACAGGTATTAGAAGTAAGGTTACAGGTCATATTTTAAGACATTTATTGACATTCCATCTAGATAATTATAACCTCAAAACAAGAAAGCGTTTGGGGTCCGGGCACGGATTCAAGTCATTATGTTTCCCCAATAACTGTTTGGTGTGTTAATAAGTGCCGTCCATCCATCACCCATGTTACAATTGTATAAACCGATTTGGGTGGAGAAGTTTACTTTGATTTGAGGAGAACTGAATACAAAATACTGTAAAGAATACAGGAGCACTAGTTATGTCCCTTAAATGCAAAACTGCCAAACTTAAGAGTAATATTATACTTTATGAAATTTAACTATACTATTTCATGAAGTATTTCTATATTTGCATTTACCTCGTTTTACTTCAGTGATTTTCAAATATTTATAAATATATCAGTACACAGGTGTCAAAATATATATAGAATGTAGTATCTATGTTTATCGATATACCTTTAAGAATAAATATTAGAATAGCTATCTGGAAGTAATATAAGTTATAAACCATTTAAAATTATTTCGTATCAAAATGAAACCTAAAATATTTGATATAAAGTTTGACAATACACAGGGTGTGTTTAATGTAGGGACAACAGTTACAGGGACTGTACTCTTGGGACTGGACCAACCCATTAAGATTAAAGGTAATGTTTACATATTTATCTGTATCTTGAAATTTTACATACACATACAATGTAATTTGTATTCAGATTTTAACGTTTTTAAGTTTGTCACGGGTTTTGTGCAAGTATCAAATTTATAAATTGTTTAAACGTCCTTATATTACGTATATTTTAAAAAGATGTACACATTGACTGTGCAAAGACATGGTAGGCCTATATCGATTTTAAAAGGCTAAATTTAGTCTAAGTATATACACGGTATCGGAAGTTTTTATAACTACACATATACCTACCTGCAACTTACTAAAGCTAAACGCCTCCAAATGAGCCAAAATATTTAAAGAAATTCAATTGTTAGAAAAATGTATTAGGATCTTAAGAAAAGTAAAAAGATTCAATATTAAGTTATTATTTACATGTTATGTGCAATTAAATGACTGATTTTGAAGTATCAATCACTATATATAATTCTACTGCGTTAGTAACGCAGTAAGATGTATAAAGTTATGTATATTTTGACCTCTAGCTTTTTGGTAGTTTTCTGGGATTGTTTGCAATGTGTAAATTACTGTCTTTGTTTACTTCATAATATTTTACTTTTAAATGCATTTTCATATTTTCATTAAACTTAGAATGGACCTGGAGGCATGCTTCTTTAAATCACACTTTTAATAAATTGACCATTTCAAATGCTTCATATTTTGCGTCAATCGTTTTTAACACTACTATGTTTCTCAACTCTAAGAAATAATAGGCTATTGACTGAGACAAGTCAGTCAGTTTGAGTTTATTTATACTCGGCGCCGGTTAAACCATCTGTCCGAGAATATAGCATCCGTGCCGGTCCACTAGGGTAGTCACATCGGGGACGTCTTTTTCATGCTGAGTCTTCCTGAAGTCCTATTCTTCGTTCGTTGGTGGTAGAGGAGTACGACAATACTGGCCAGGCATCATGTTCCATACTGGTCGATAACAAAAACGGCTCTCGTTAGCGCCAACCCTCCAGAGTTAGTCACGACAGGTCAACCAATCACCTCTGGTACTTAAGATGACTTGACCTTGACCTGCCGTGTGCCTTCTCCGCGACGTGCACGCCTCTGGAGGGATTTGGAGAAGGACTGAGACCAGCATTATCCTGGCTGTTTTATATTTTTATTTGATTTTTCACCCACCAATCGGATGTACCGTAAAGTCCCCCGCCAGTTACCAAAACAAGACATGGACATCCCAGCTACATATTCCAAATATTCTAAAAAGCCTTATAAATCTTAAATAAATAAATTATAGGAAGTCTCTAGTATATATATACACAATTTTATTTGAAAACAGGACTACTGCATTTATCAAACTTTGTGCCATCTATTATAACGTTTGCTACAATTGTTTTCTATATGAAAGCGTATTTGAAGTTTCTGGTTAATCTTTTGATTATATCATTATCTATTCTTAGACAATAAAGACGTCTGGCTCTGCCAGACATTATCAATCAAAGTTCTGTGTTTGTATTAACTCTACTGATTATGACACAAATTAACAAGGAGGAACATGTACCGTGGTAGTAGTAAAAATCAGTGTTAAACTCATTTATAGGGTTAAATTCGTCATTCAGCTGAATTGATAAAACAGTAAATCAACATTTAAAACCTTTCGCACGGCGTTAATAAAATTATCCCCAAAAATATTCACACTCATATGGTAAAAGTAGTGTATTTTCTTTAAAAATGATCTTCAACTGAATTAGGCTGCATAGTAGCGGCCTTTAGTGGGCTTTCTACTGGTATGGGGCTGAATTTTAATCCATAGTTATCGCTGAACTTAGTTTTTGCTTACAAATAGGCATACATGTATAGTAGCGCGTTAAGTACTTATGAACTGTAACTGAAGGGCTATTCCACATGGAAAGCCGTGTGGTAGGGCATTTGCGGGTAGTGTCCATGCAGTAATACTAGCAGAAATGTAACATCTTCGATACAATGATGCTGAACGATACAATGATGCTGAAATATTCAGTAGTTACAAATAAAAAAGTAAACCACGAAGTCTGGTAAATAAAATAAAATAAAATGGATAATTGTTACAACTATGACTGTATTTTAACAAAAGTTATAATAATTACCTTTCTCATTGGACACGTTATACATGTATATATATAATATACAGTATCGTTAAATCAAATAAGCGATGTCCTTATGTTTCATGATGAGGGATATAATATAATGTTTTACAATGAACAATATTGTTATATTAAAAAAAAAACACAATAAGCAGTACATCAAAGTTTCATAATTTGAAGTATTATTTAAGTTTCAAAATGAGTGGTATTCTGTAAGTCCCCTATCACTCACAATGTATTTTCATTATCCGTATTTTCACTGTAAAATAATATTTTTCACTGCAGTGAACATATTTTCCGTATTAACACTAGAGTCTTGTCGGACTACATTCAATTTTCCGTATTTCAATGTAAAAATATTTTTCACTGCAGTGAAACATATTTTCCGTCTTAACGTTTTGTCTTGCTATGCAAAATTTAAGGGGAGGTCACTGTGAAATTGATTTTCTGAATAAATTAAAAATCGATGAAAATTAATCCTGTATTTATAGAAAAAACTTAAATATCCTTTATGTACAATTTTTATTTTACACGAAATCACAAAAATGTTTTTATCCGAAACTGAAAAAACTGGCATGCTTCTTACAATACCAAGATTATGAAAAGAAATGAAAAAAAAAACCCCAACTTTTCTATGCGTTCCTTTTGTGATTGCAATTTCGTTTCTTTTTTTTATTGCAGGCATTAAGATAGTTTTCATTGGACTAGCAAAAACAAAATGGGTAGTTCGTCAGGGACAACATAAAAAGACCTGCTACACCGGAGCTGAAAACTATTTTTATAAAGTCTTAAATCTCTTCGAACCTGGTAAGTATAATTTCTGTACACATATTTTAGTCTCAAATTCATGCATGACCAACGAAATGTTTTCTTGTGATATTGTCATAGTTATTTTATCCTTTTCTTCAAGCAATTGGTTGTGTTGAGTCTTGCTGTCCTGTTAAATGTGTTATTTTGTATATTTGTTCAATGTTAATTTGCATATTTGTTTAATTTTATTTTTGGAAAATTCGGCATAAAAGTACATGATATACTTTCCAAAATGAGCGCTGTTGCTTGTCGTAGATTTTTACGTGTTTCCTCATTAGTCATTTTACTAGATGAGTAAAGTAATAGTGAAAAATACAGCAAATGAAATTGATATATGCCATGAGTAGAAATTGATATATATTGTAATCTGCAAAGGCGAGCATGATTTGTTTTCAATGGATTTGTCAAATTGTAATGAAATCTTCATATTCTGTCAAGTTGTAGTTTATTTTTTGGGATAGACAGAAAGACTGACATTTTTACGATAGAACCTGTCGGCCCATTATTTTCCAGAAAAAGACTTTTTTTTATTTCTCAAAAGCTTTTTATAATTGGTGTTCTGTTATAGTTTCCAAAAAATTACTCATTTAATTAAGCCAAATATCTGAAACATAATTTACTTCTGCTGCTTTCTGGGAATAAGTACAATTATAGTGATTTAAAGTATTTTGTATGGAATTCATACAATTGTTTACATTTGACTACTTTTATGACAAATAATTTTACCTTCAACGCTACTTTTTCAGGTTATGTAAGTCTATAACAGGCTCCAAAACCATTATTTAAACATTATGAAGTTGTGTTTGTATTTTCTAAAGGCATACTTTGCTGTCACGTTATTTCAATTATTTCAGAGTCTGACGAGGATAGGAATCATCCTGCCGGGAACCATGCTTACCCATTTTCCCTAGAGTTAACAGACACACTACCATCATCATTCGAGGGAACCAGCGGTCACGTCAGATACTTATGCAAGGCCACTATAGAAAGACCTTGGGTATTTGACGTTCATGTGAAACGTGCTTTTACCGTGATTCACCATTTAGATCTAAATTATTTCCCCTCAGCGCAAGTAAGTTTGCAAATTCAATTTTCACAGAAGGAATTGTTTTACTACAATAACTGAGATCGAATTATTTTACCCCTACGGCAAATTTTGTTACTATCCGTGTTTTAACAAGGAACATGCTAATTAAGGAATAGCTCAAACAATCGGAACATCTCGGCTATTTTCAAAAATAATCCAATGCTTGACGGAAAGGGCCGCAAATTTGCGATTGTAGAAATCGGTATTCAGCAATTACAAATAAATTTAAACTACTATTTTGAAATGATATTATTCTTTGTTCATTGATGTACATTATTACATGCCACTAAATAGATTGTATTTATAACTGTTTTTTTTATATAGAACATTGATTTACACCAGTCCTTTTGTTTTGCGGATACGATCTTAAACAATTAAGTCGCCTTAATCTTTTTTTTCTGCATTGAATAAATTAAATTATTTCAAAACAGCAACTACAAACATGTATAAAAAATTGCGCATCACTTTCAGATTAATATACCTCGTTAGTTTAAACGTAAAAGTTCCATTGTGACAGAGGGTTACATAATGACACTTAATTTTACAAATATTTTTATTGCAAACATGATTATTATAGAATGAACTAGTATTTATAAATGCTAACGAAATAAACTTTTCTTTTTGTCGAGTTAATATTTAACTCTTTCGCATAAAAAGAGAAAATATATCGCAAAATTATGTTTTATTTTCAGATTCCGATTTTAGACCAGGCATCCGGTGATGTTTACAACTTTTGTTGTGGTCAGGCCGGGTCTGTTGACATACATTTAGACGTCAACAAATCAGGATTCGTTCCAGGGGAACCAATCAAGTACACCATAGCCATAAATAATCGAAGTTCACAAACGGTGGATCAAGTTGCGCTTATTCTTAATCAAGCAAGTATATTTTCTTTCCCAATCGCAACTTTTCGGCCCTTTCGGATAAGGATTTGATTGGTACCATGATTTGTAAAGGCAAGCACACACAGACACACGATACAGTCGGAAAACATGACAACAGATAAAGATGGCGACACCAGACAAACTATGAGCAATTTAAATTCAAAGATATACTATCTCTTTGGCAGTACATATGCGACGAACGCGTATCGTAAGTACAAAGACGGGTGGATGTGAAATATCTTCTTTTTTTCCTTCGAAAAAGAAATGTTCACCTACGTGTGCCTCTTTGCGTTATTAGTTCAAATAATAACAAATGACTTTACGAATATATCATTTTGATATTATGATTTCATTAAAATTATTTTGATTTACAATTCCGTTACATGCATGCATGTGAATTTAATACCCAAGTTTTGTCAAATTTGTACATGTATTCGCAGACGTCATACGAAGAGTTTCAACTTAAGGTGACACACGCTTTTCCAATAAAGCACATACTTTAATTTCACGTTATATCTAATTTTTGAAACAGATGACAACATATACCGGGATATCAGACGCCATTTTTTCAAATCAACGTCCCAAAATGCATACAAAGAAACAACCGTTCTACTTACTGTACTCACGTGACTGCAACTTTAAACCAAACACATCAAAACAGATAGAAAAGACCATAATTGTTCCCTCACTACCCGCCACAGGACTGGATGGATGTGATATTATTGATATTAAATATAGTCTAGAAGTAAGTTTTAACTTAAATTGACTGTACGTTATTTCAATTGATATCAATGAAAACTTTGTATATCATTGATATCAAAATATTAGTAGGCTCGTATCAGTTTAGAATTAGCTATTAATAAAGTTCAAAATAAAGTTACTGCTGTTAATATCAATTATTGTCGCATGGTTTGGAACATTTCCTTTGTTCTTACAGTACACTTCAATGAGCATTTGAAAACTGTATTGATATATAACAGCACAGTTTTTTCATTGATTCATATAGGAAAAAAAACTCGACTGTTATATATCGGTTGAGTTTTTTTCGCACCTTGTATATATCAATACAGTTTTTTTTTTTCATAGAGGCTCCAATGGAGCAGTGGTAACGACCATTCCCAGTAGCAAAAAAAATGGAATCACTAAAATAAATATATAAATACAATGAAAAATATTAACAAAGATAATTAATGAAATGAAATTTACTCTCATTTAATCAAAAGGTACATCCGCTGAATGAATTATTTCCACTGAAAAAATCCCTTTAATCTGGAATCAATCTTGGTAACAGTTTAAAATCCGCCTCTAACTTGAAAAAACTGCCTTATCATAAATAACTGTAATGTAGCTAACGATTTATTTATTTGTTTCTATTACAAAAAAAGAAAACGTTATGTCATTGCGATAAAACAGTTATAGTATATGAAACTCGTTAGTTATGGGGGTATAACACTGGCTGGGGCGACATCTCGGGATGTCGCCCCAGCCAGTGTTATATCCTCGTAACTAACTCGTTTCATGTACTATAACTATTACTTATTGATGAAATAAGTTTACACTGATATCAAATGAAGTTTTCAAAACAGTTATGAGTTCTTTTCATTGATATCAAGTATAGTTAGTTAAAAAGTACGTTATTATCATTGAATAAGAAATGATAAAAAACACCGTCCATACGAGTTGAAATTTCAATTATTTCTGAGTCTTGTTTTAATTGGTGAAATCAAATTTTAAAACGAAACTTCATTTTTAGATAAATAGTGTTTCGTTACAATTCAGAATAAGAAAATGATTAAATTCTTTGTTCCAGACGTATAATAAGAATTCATAACGTAACTTCAATGTTTCTACTACAGCTGAAAGTGCTTTGCAATCATACAAGTATAAAAATTACAAAAGATTTGGTCATTGGTACGATCCCTAGTCAGGTTCCGGCAGTTAGACCGACTGAAGTAACTCTATCAGCCCCACCATACACGAACACTTTACCAACATATGAAGAAGGTTTGTTCTCTTATTAAATTTCTCTTGCTACTTCAACCATTCCATCATCTTCATCATCATCATCATCATTATCATAATAACGTGTATCTTTTCCCATAACTTAATAATAATAATAATCACACCATCAACCCGATTATCATTATTCTAATCATCATCATCATCATCATTTAAATCATCATCATCATCAACAACAGCAACAACGGAAAAATCATAGTCCTTAGCTTTATAGGATCATTTCATAGCTCGCTATCATAATTAAACCCCTTTATTGTTAAACTTTTGCGAGATGATATGAAAATGAGAAAAGTGTTGCTTATTCGAACAATACAATAAATAGATAGTAATGTGACACCACGAAGGAACGTGCAAAATGTATTTTAGTACTGGAGTTTGACTGTAAATATAATGTGCGAACTGGGAAATATTTCAATTTTAGTTCATCACATAGTGATTCCTTTTATTTCAATGAGGAAAAGTAAAATACCATTAACAGTTAGAATGGTTACCGATTAGAGTTAGATTATTCGACTTAAAGTAGATCTTAAACAGTCCAACAGAGGTGTTATATGTGGTCTGTTTATTTCAGTGTTTTCCCCGCCACCATCGTACGCCGAATGTGTGCACGGTCGAACGACAATCATGGATAGCACAGACGACAATAATACTTCCGGTGACGTCAATTGGGCACCTGCATATCCATATTATGATTGGGTAGCTTTCTCTCCGCAGGCGTTTGGTGACCAGCCACCAGACTATGTCAATACTGAACAGTCACGTGGAGCTGACAATGATAATGACTGACTCAGTAACTCAACACAAAGTTGTACTTTATGACAATTTATCGCAGGCATAAAATGACGTCATGGGCGTAGAAAGAATGTTAAAACATAAACTATTTAATCAAAGAAAAATTATATAGTAATATTTTCACATTGGCAGACGACTAACACTGTATTATTCTATAAACTTCCGGTCTATAACAATGTGCTTGTACTCCAATACAAAGGGGTGATTGAGGAGAGAACACTGGCGATTAACGATAGCGTTTGGTGCTGTTGTTTTGTTGGGCGCAAATAATTTATTTGCAGAAATTTTATGTAATAGAGTTTTAGCGAAAAGTGTAAAGGTATATTTATTATCATGTATTATGATTGAAACAGTGTGAATGAACTAGAACTGTATTTGTGAAAGAAGAAAAATAACCATTGTTTATTAAGTGATACATTACATTTGAATTATAAACAAGAAAATGTAATTGTACTTTCGTCATCATTATCATCATGGTCATAATCATTATTATCATCACCTTCTCCTTTTTTGTTTCTTCTCCTTTTCCTTTTTCAAGTTCGGGATGAATCATCAAATTGACCTTGGCTTTTTATGACATTGACCTTGAATGTTAAATTATTGAATGCCTATTGATTTTTACTATAAATGACGGTAACTTCGTGATTTATAAATGGTTTGTCTTCTTACTTTGACAAATAACGTTTTGGACAAGACATTCTCAAAAGTTGTACTGACCTTGACCTTATATTTTCTTAACTTTGTCATTTAATTATGGAAAAGATTAATACTTGGACAAGCGAGCAAGTGTGAATAAACAGTCCTATAAATGAAAAAGGAAAAACATTTTTTTCTTAATTTTCTCTTTTAACGTTTGTTTAAACCGTTTATTTGTTTGCTTTTAGAAAAAATATTAAAAAAAAATCGAGCTCGGTGGTGACTCTTGTTCAATGTTTCCATGAGTCTTGTATTGCACTTATTAATGTTACAAATTAACATAATAATAAATTATACTCTGACTTATTAAGCTTCTGTACTCGAAATTAAACTCATTTTCAAATGACACAATTCTAATACAATGTATTAAGCTCATGTGGTCTATTTTTGTATGTTTTTTTGTTGTTGTTTTTATTGTTGTTGGTTTTTTTGTTGTTTTTTTTGTGTGTTTTTTAAAGATACTGATAATGTGTATAACAATTAATAGAATGTTATTTTAAATCTTGTCATATACGGAGTTCTTTGTCAAATAACTTTGTTGACTTAAAAATATTTTTTGTCCAGGAAAATAAATAAATATGAACATAAAAAAATAATTGTGTTCTTAAAACTAATTTGAGAAGAGCATGTCCTTAGGTAAACAAAAAAGTATGTTTGTATGCTCCAAGTTCTATACATTCGAAACACCTTGTCGATTATTCATATTCGTCCTTATCAGGAATTGACGGAATTCTTAAACATAGCAAGAGCCAAACTCCGCACCGGTTACGTTACGGCTGTAAGGGGAGATCACTAGGAGATTTGAGCAAGAGCACCGCTGATCATAAAACATTCTTTTTCGTTTATTATCTTTTGATACATTGTTTTTATAATGTTTTGTTTAAGTCAGGGCCGCGTTTGAACAAATATATAAAGTATTTTTTATGTTAAACATTTTAGGCCTTCATACATGTATTAAGCCGTCCCAACTTTTAACGTTAAACTGGGGTAATAAGAAATGCAGAATCACTCAATTTACCTTTGAATTATTCAATGCGTATGTAGGTGTGTCAAATTTGCGTGGGCGTGCTTGTACATAATGTTCCTCCATGGTGTAGGAAAAATCCAGAAATTCTTGCTGAAAAGAGTAAAAGTAAAAAACAAGCAAACCAAATAATTGAGCCGCGTCACGACAAAATCAACATAAATATTGGGATTGCGACCAGCATGGATCCAGACCAGCCTGCACATCCGCGCAGTCTGATCAGGATCCATACTGTTCACCATCAGTTTCTCTACTTGTAATAGGGTTGGTAAGCGAAGAGCATGGATCCATGCTGATCGCAAACCCATTATGTTGGTTTTGTCATAGCGCGGCTCAAATATAATGCTTATAAAAATACATATACCACATGAAAGGAGGTAATATAACATGCGAAGATCGTAACATGTGTCGTAAGTTTCGAGAAGCTGACACTGAGATCGGTTAATTATAAACTTTGTCCTAGCTATTAGACCGTTTATAGATGAAAATTAACCAATTTCCAGGATGCCTTGACTTTATTAACACACTTTTAATCTATGGCTGAACTATTTTCTTTAAAAAAAAGCGGCTACAATTATAAAAAAACTCGTATAATATCATGTCCTAACTTTTAACTTATTACATTGATAGTGGATTACTTAACTCGTTATATCCTCAATAAGTAAACACTATTACAAAAGATATCCAATCCATCTTTTAAAACAAAGAGAGTTGGCGTCAGTAAACAATAATTATTAACTCTTAGCAACACATCATCACAATTAGTGTTTGTGTAACGGAAAAGTACTAAGAAATGAGTCAATAACAATCTATATTAACCCAACCGACCCGCATCTTAACCTGTGTCATTTTGAAAAGCGTATATATAGGTCGCTTTTAGCAATATTAACTTACAAACTCTATCGGACATTCTACAGCGTATTAATATTGTTGTCATCATAAAGGGTGATAATTATGGCGGCTGAACTCAAAAGCAAATTTGAAGGAAAATGGGTCCACGATAGATCCGAAAACCTAGGAGCTTTCTTAGAAAAAGCAGGTGAGTGAAGTTTAAAAGTAACGCAAGCAATTAAGTGTTCCATTACATTTTTTTTTTTAATTTATTCAGAAATAATTGAAGTTTAAAGTAAGAATTAAAAGCATACATTTGTTTACTCAACTGCCGTTCTTAGAAGTGATATAAGGATGAAAGATCTAGGAGGCTTGAATTTGAAGGCTTGGATTATCTTAATTTAAAAAAAAAACAATAAGATTTTTATTCAAAGATTTTAATTGTAAATACTTTAAAAAAATCCTTTCATATAGAAAGTGAAGGTTTCTTAAAAAAAGATTATAACTACGTATTTTTAAAGAGTTAGAAAGGGAGTTACCTCTGTTCATGGTCATCATAATGGATTATTATAATTTATACTTTATGGGGGCAAATCGTTGCAAACACGAATGCTGGATAAAATAAACTCGTTTGAATTCCTATGACGAGTGCATTAATGCTAGGACAAAATTTAACATTATAAACTGTAACGCGTAAGTGTATCCGAAATAGCATAAACATATTTATTCTTTTCATAATTAAAGTTGTAACACGTTAAATGCAATACAGATTTCTACTAGTATGTGTCGCAATTTAAAGGCCAGATTGGAGAGTTTTTACTGGATATAATTATGCAGATTTCTTCTAAATATTCTTAAAACTTAATCATTCAGTATTTCTACAACGTGTTTTATATCAAATACTGTAAATTTATCCAGCTATAGTATATTGTTTCATTTTGCCACAGGTAAAAATATTTACATTCGTCGTGGTCTAATGAACTAGTAAACATTTCTGACGTGTGAGCGACCCACATTATAAACTGCCTGAGCGACATACATGTTTACTATTGACATTTTAATATACGTGTTTCATAATTAAAATGGTGGTAAAACATTATTATATGTATGTCCGAGTAGATTCTTGACTGTCCTTATCCGAAGAGATTGCAGTGGTATGTATGTCCGAAGCGCTTGAAATGCAACTTGTTCTATACGAAATATATATAGGTTTTGTGACCAAACATTTATACTAAAGTAAGTATAATATAGTATAACATAAGCTTGCAACTTTTGCAAATTATTACGCAAGAAACATGCTATGATTATTAAACAAAGTGAGCCCATTTGTTAAACGTATCGACTGACCTTTAAAGTTAATTATTCAGCTAGAATTTGTTTACTTAGTTCTACTAAGATCAATTCTGGGATCTCCGATGGAAAATGCCATTTAATATGGCGGCTGATTTGTGCCATTTCGTATATATTTTTGTTCCGCGGGCCGCCGGACGAAAACACGAAAATACATGGCATAGATTAGCCACCATTATTTAAAGGGAGACACAGGGAAAATTTTAATTTATTTGTTTTGAATTTTTTCATTCCTGATTCTGTAAATGCCCTCAAAACGAATATATCAGACAGACAAAGGATAAAAACTTTTCTCAATATAAAGAATAAAATGGTGGTTTCCAAACCTGACCCGCGTGGGTCAGGTTAGAGCGCTAGGATTTCACAATAGTTGTCACAGTGAACTTTTGAAACGTTAAAGAACATGTCAAATGAATGATTTTGACTCGTTTCAATCATACAATATCCACAGTATCTGTTAATGTAACTTAAAGGATTTGTTCAAGTCACCTGACTTGTTTTAAAACTATCCGGTGATCCTTTTGGCGTCTAGATTTTGTTCAACATATATAGATATATTTATGTTTTAAATCCAAATTATATAGAATTTAAAGGGAATTCATGCTGAAACTTTAAGAAGTATTATTTTAGCGCAAGTTGAGTATAAAAGATCATTTTAATATTTTTGTCATTATTTTGCCTGTATATCCCTTTAAGGTTTAGTATATATTTCTGGTATAAGCTTCTGCTTAGATATTCAAACCAATTTAAATAATAATACAGAGTTAAAAATTAAACATATTAACTGCATTTATGTTAAACTAATAGAAATGTTTGATATTAGTCATTTTTGTTTTTGTATTAGATTTTTATAAAGATTTAGCTAGGCTAAAATCTAATTAAATTTGGCGGGAAAGACTAGCTAACTCGATCAAACTATATAGCTTGTACAACTGTGCAGTCTATTACAGCTAAATCTTGGCGTATTAATTTTCAATCAATTATTTTTTTACCATCATTTATCATTTAACCATCATTTATCACTATTATAAATTTATAATTCTTGCATGTATTATTGTGATTATCTTCAAATAGGTGTCGGTATGATCAAAAGAAATCTTGTTCAGCAACTGAGTCCAACTATGGTTATCAGTGTGGAAGGCGAGACTATAACTGTGTCTATTACAGCTGGTCCTAAAACAAACAAAAGCTCCTTTAAACTCGGAGAAGACTATGCCGTAGAAGGGGAACAAAAAGGAACGGTGAGTCAGTTGTCATTATATCGGCAATTGCATCTCTTCAGACTGTTTCCGGTCACACTTTTGATAACGGAAATCGGTGAGGGGTTCCGAATGTGTCAATCTGGGACTCGATCCATTCGTATATTACTGTGACGCTGCGACCATAGACTTAAAAAGATTCGAATCTTTTCCATGTCATACATGAATGCGTCAATACACTGAAGTATCTGTTTGTTATGATGGCTTATTTGGAAAGTTTTTGTGCGTCGTGTTGGCACTAGAGACAACAGGACAAAGCCGCCTAACGGCGCGTTGTCGGACGTTCGTCTTGTCGTCCTGTCGCTAACGATGTACGCCAAACAACGCGTTATCGTGCAGCGTGTTGTCGCGATGTCACATTATCGCTCGGTTTAAATCGAATGATTGGTTCATAAGCCAAGCGACAGGGCGACATCGCGACAACGCGCCGCACGATAAGGCGCCGTTTGGCGTGCTTCGCTAGCGACAGGACGACAAAACGACAGCGCGACAACGCGTCGTTTGGCGCTTTTATTTGTCGTGAAGTCAGTAGCGACAAGACGAAAAGGCGATAACGATATAGGTTGCGTTGTCGCTATCGACAACGCAACGCGAAATGTACCAAATCAGCCATCATAGTTTGTATACTATTGAAATTTTTTAGCAATAAACTTAAACATTGTTTTTATTGAAAATAATAAAGTTTAGTTTGAATTCATATACGGATTTAATCTTTAAAGTTTTTAAGTTATTATCATCACCATTCCCCTTCTTATACTCATTTTCCAACTTTCAACATGATTTTGTCATTATTTATTAAGGCGAGTCCTTTTAAAAGATTTCCATGTATTATTCTAAAAATGAGGGAAACAATCTTTTTCAGGCAACTACAACTTATGAGGGAGGAAAAATGAAAACAGTTATTAAACCGAATGATTCAAAACTTACAGGACACACTATATTGCGAGATATATGTCCTAAAGGACAGCTAGTTCAGGTGGGTATTCAAATCATTTTAAAGTATGAATTTTTTTTTTGAGATCGTGATAGTTCGGTTATTTCCGTAACTTTCCGTATGTTCTTAAAAGCTATAGCAGGCGTATCACAACCAGGACCAATAGTATAATAATGGATATAGACTTATCGATGAGACTATTGAGATGCCAAATGAGCTTGTTTCAAGGCGAAAAAAAGACAGGTCTTAAACACGGAAATACGCCAAGGACACGTTTGTTGTGTTGTCGTTTCCCCCCCCCCCCCTTTGCCTCACTCGACACGACAAACGTAAAGAACGACATATTCATGAGGAAACACAACACACTTTGTACAATGATTCAAGCTTTAAACTTTAGGAATATTGGTAGAAAACATCACAATGTATTTAATTGTTTGCTATTTAGCCAAGAAGAACCTTATATCCTTTAACTTTTAAATTAGGGTCTTGTTAAAATGTTTTTATTTCTTATTTTCAGACAATGGAGACGGGTGGAGTTACAGCTACACGGTACTTTAATAAAGCATAAGAAAAGTGGACATGAAAACTTCACTAAAGATGCTAACAGCCACACCGTTATTTCCTCGTCTTTGTAGTGTGGAAGGGTTCGAGCGCTAACTATTGTCACAGTATTTTGTCTTGACAACACGAAAACTTACAATGGTTAGACAATAGTGACGTCACGAATTTATAACCATGTGCCCGGTATCTCTGGTTCCAAAGTTTTGGCGATCCACGAAACAGGAAATGACTACAGCTCGACAATGGTTAGTGCCCGAACCCAGCCACGAAAGTTCTAACCAGCATGTACATATTTCTATGCATATGTTGCAAAATTCTTTTTGCCTTTCGACGCTACATGAAAATTAACACTGTTAGACTCAAAATATTCTCCTCGATATGTGTACATGTAGTTATTTTACAAAAATTGATTTAGACACTTAAAAGTCCAATCACCAATTCTTTCAAAACTTAAAAAAGCAAACTTTTACATAGGACTTGACATTAGTCATTTGACTATTTATTGTGTAATAAATTTTGTATTTAAAAGTTATCTGTAGACTTTGTTTTGTTTCTTATATTCATCCTTGCTCTGTGTTATGAGGATCAGTAATTTTGTTCAATTGAGCAAAACAGTAACCGTTAGGATAATTGCAAGCTTATTCAGTGGAGCAAAACAGTAACTATTAAGATGATCAGCAAGCTTTTTTCAATTGAGCAAAACAGTAACTGTTAGGATGATAAGCAAGCTTTTTTCAACTGAGCAAAACAGTAACCGATAGGATGATAAGCAAGCTTGTTCAATTGAGCAAAACAGTAACTGTTAGGATGATCAGCAAGCTTGTTGAGTTGAGAAAAACAGTGACCGTTAGGGTGACCAGCAAGCTTGTTCAATAGAGCAAAACAGTGACTGTTAGGGTGAACAGCAAGCTTGTACAATTGAGCAAAACAGTGACTGTTAGGGTGAACAGCAAGCTTGTTCATTGACCAAATGTAACTGTTAGGATGATCAGCAAGCTTGTTCAATTGAGCAAAACAGTAACTGTTAGGATGACTAGCAAGCTTGTTCAACTGAGTAAAACAGTAACTGTTAGGATGATCAGCAAGTTTGTTCGATTGAGCAAAACAGTAACTATTAGGATGATTAGCAAGTTTGTTCAATTGACCAAAATGTAGCTGTTAGGATGATCAGCAAGCTTGTTCAATTGAGCAAAACAGTAACCGTTAGGGTGGCCATCAAGCTTTCTCAATTGAACAAAATGGTAACTCTTAGGATGATCAGCAAGCTTGTTCAATTGAAGAAAACAGTAAACATTGGAATATTCAGCAAGCTTGCTCAATTGAGCAAAACAATAACCGTTAGGATGATCAGCAAGCTCGTTCAATTGAGCAAAGCAGTGATCGTTAGAATGATTTGCAAGCTTGTTCAATTGAGCAAAACAGTGACCGCGGGATGGTCAGCAAGCTTATTCAAATGAGCAAATTTCTCTCTTTTTATAGTAGCTTACATTCATATACTTATGGGACATGATATATATTTTAAAACGAATATTAATTAATCAAGGAGTTTTAGGTTGTTTTTAAAGAATGCTTGTTGATAGAACCCATAAAAGTATGCTTGAATTGTTCAATGATTTTAATTATGTTAAATTAACAAATAACATCATACCAAACTTAAATATGTCCATAACATTTTCATGGCTTGTCGCAACTAGCTTTCATTTATTATGCGTGATTCAAGGCCCCACCAAAAATGAGCCAATCAATGGGCATGCTCTGGAGTGCGGGTAACTAATACCTGCACACCAGTCAACGCATTGTGCTTGTATATGTATACGATTTAACTCTGACACATTCTCAACAGAAAGGTCCCCAAACTATGATACAACTATTAATTGTATCGGACAGATTAAATAAATTGATTGTTTTAATTGCAATGCATGAATATATTCCAACTTGAACTAGCAACTTTTTCACTGTTCACATAGCACAAAATACTATTGTCAATTTATTTCTGAGTGGCCCATCTGATCTGTAAGAAATTAAAATTTTATGTTTAAAGCATTAAATACTTACATGACACGCAATCCTCCTGCGTAAGGTAGCATATCGGTGAAATTGCACCGCCTATTTTGTAAAATTAGTAGAACAAAATAAATATGAAAAACACATTGAACTAATAACTTTTATGTAATTCACTGTGGCAAATAAGAAAACGTATTCTTTTTGCAGCAGTAAGTCTACTGGTATGACAATTTTTAGTACGAAACAACGAATCGTTAACTTTAATTATACAGGATGTTTAATTTATCTTTTCAATCGAGGCAGTGTAGTTGTTATATGTACATGCATAAAAGCGGAAGTTATTATATATAGCAGACGACACGAAACGACCGAACTTGAAAAGTTCAATTTTTAATTGCGGATGTAAAAGGATAACTTAGTGATTCTAAATGAAACAATTTTCGTTTTAAATCGTAAGATGTTACACTTGTTTGCAGATTTAATATTGTGATCTATATGGACTTTAAGGAAAAGGGACGGGCTTTGGATGTGTTTATGGTGTTCTAATGTGTGTTTTTTAATTGGCATTAGTCTGGTCCATTTAATATATCTGTAACGAACATGTTAAATAAAATGATTGTGTTTTAAATGTTTTAATTGCAAAACACGAGTTTATAATAATGGATTTTGTACTTGGATAGCTGCCAGAAATCCGGTTACTAAATACAGAACATATCAACTAACAGACAGTGCGCTTAGCGAATACTTTGACATTATTGTACATGCAATAATATTTAAATAAAGTGATCTAGCTTAAGGGAGTGTGCTATCTTCAATACTGGGATTGGGTTTAAAGGAAGAATGAGTTTTCTTTTAGATTTAGAAAGCTACAACGTAAAGCAAGAAGAATTCTGGCCGCGTCAAGGTCGTGTCATTTTGTCACAGTTTACAGATAAATCTATTATTGTTTATCAAACAACTGAATATCAATCGTCTGGTGGGAATGCAGAAAAATATGGCGCCGTTAATGGCAGCGACGCACGATCAGTGATAGGGATCAAAGGTTAGTTATAAAATATACATGTATTCAATTTTTACCAACCTACCTACACGGCAAATTGACATAGACGGTAGCCTAGCTATAATAACAATAAATTAATTGCTGCGGAAAACATAATATATAACATGCTTAATTAATGTGAAATGTTTTCTTTTCCTGCAGATTTTTGCTGTGCGAAAATTGTCACGTGTAACACGTCTAGAGAAGATTGATATTCCTTAAAGCTACATTAAATAAATTTCATAAAAACAGAAATAGCGACATTTCATTAACAAATTGGGTTTTATAACGACCCCAGATGTTACTTTGGTGTCCTGACAACCAAAATAGGTTTTATAAGCATAAAAAGGGTGCAACCTCATTGTGGCGAAATTGAAAGTACAATTTCAGTTTGCATGAGAAACTCCGCCTTCGGATCATCTGTACATCAATATCAAATCAACAATCATGACTAAAAGAAGCAGTCCTAATTTAACGGTAATTTTCCGCATTGTAACGGATGTTTTCATACAAATTTAATCTTTTTTATGAGATGATTTCTTTTTTCTGCACCGTGAATCTAAAACGGTTAAAGTGTGTTTGCATAAGAAAATCTCATATTTGTTGTGTTCCGGATAGCAGCTATAACACGGTGACGTAGCGCATACAAGAGCTGATTATAGTCTTCATTTACATGTTAAAATTCGTATACGAACTTTAGTGTTACCGTGGGGGTTTCCGTTTAAAATCCTAATTTATGAATAGTATTTGATGAAATTTACAACATTATTGTTAAAAAGGTTAGTGAAACTGTAGAATGCTTGGTTTTTAGACAGACGGCAAAATAATTTTACATATTTATTTAATGTAGCTTTAATGTTTTATTAGAACAGTGGCAGAAATTTAGGATGTTACTAACGGTTAAGGGATATGGTTGGGCTCATCTGAGCTTAATTAATGACTAAATAACTGATAAGATATGCATTATATTTACCATTTCTCATGTTTTTTCAGACACCTTCTCGTTATGTATCTCCTTAATTTTATACTTTGCATGGTCTAGGAAAATGTTTATAACATGTAGATTATTTGATAAATGATGTCATACTGCCCCACAAAAAGTTCATCTTACAATTGAATGTACTGTAGATTTACAAATACAAATATTTCGCACACAAGTGTTATTTAATGTCCTCTTACTATTATTGTCGAAATTGTGAAATCTTGTCCCGGATATTAATATTGTTAGTATGCAGCTGATGACAAAGGTCATGAAAAGCTGATGACCCCATCACCATACACAAAAACAACATCAACAACAAAAACAACAACAACTGCAAAAAAAGTTTTGGATTGCTTTAAACAAAATTGACAAGCAGATTTAAAAAAAATAATAACGTTTTAAACACTCTATTCGTATTAAAACAGATTTTAAACTTTGAACGTTGTTGAAAATCATCAAATTTAAATAGTTAATATTATGCATTTAAGAATTACTTCGCATAATCTTGATATAATATGATTCACTCAAACTAGCAGATATAGTAGGAACAGAATAAAGACAATGGATAGATTATGCTTATTATGTCAATATTCTGAGATTGAAGATAGATATCATTGTATTGTTATATTCAATCCTTACTATAAGTTAAAAATTCGATTAATTAAACGTCCTTTTAAGCAGAGACCTTATAATTATAAATTGTTAGATATGCGGAAGTCATACAATAGATCTGTTCAAAACAATCTTAGCAAATTTATACATTTAGCCAATGTGAAAAGAAATTCATACCCTAGACTATAACAATGTGCATCATATTAACTGTAAGATATTTTATAAGTAAAATGTTTTATAATTCAATTTATACATTATGGTTTTATAAAATAGTTTGAAATTTGTGTATTCTATAGAATATCTAGTTTCATAATCATATTTCATCTGAAGATTGTATAAAATGAATGATATATCATTTTTGTTGTAATAACAAAACGGGACAAAATGTTTTCTCTCTATTAATTTTGATGTATAACGAGATATTTGTAAATGTATAAGTTAGGTAAAAAATATTTTTTCTTTCTTCTTTTGTCATCATGTAATCGGTACGAACTTTCCGAAATCGGTAACACATACTTAATGGGACAATGACTGTGACACTTGAAAATTGTCAAGTACTTTGAAGTGGGAAAAACTTAGTAATTATCTCCATTGTTTCAAACCCAAGTTGTTTAAGTGATGTCTTTCTATGGCGCATATCCATAGCTATAGCGGCCAAAAACTTTTCAAGCATTTTCATAGAGACCCTTAACTCTTAGAATTGTCTCTTATTCTATGGGAGTCATTCATAAAAAAAAACATTTTGGAAAGAAAAGTCACGTAACGAACTTCCTCAGAATGTATGCGTTGGCGGTAGAACTAAAATGCTTTATTTTGTCGCAATTCTTTTTTAACTGGACATTAAATAAATCTTTCTTTCATTACAGAAAATAACTGGAATGCAGTCGGAGCGTCTAGTAAGCGTAAAAAAGACACAGGTGTAGACTCAGATAGAGCAGACGGAAGTAACTCTAATTTGCCAAATTTTTCTGTGAGATTTGAGACAAGTTTTGTGAGGGCGATGTATAACTGTGAATGGGGCAAGGCTTCCGGCTATGGGCGTGTTCTGGCTACGCTGTTGAAACGAGAAGGATTCGAAGAAATACTTCAAGATTACCTCAAAAACATCAAGAGTAAAACTCCCACTGGTAAATAGCTCATGGCTGGTTATATTTGAGCCGCGTCACGACAAAACCAACATAATGGGTTTGCGACCAGCATGGATCCAGACCAGCCTGCGCATCCGCGCAGTCTGATCAGGATCCATGCTGTTCGCTATCAGTTTCTCTACTTGTTATAGGGTTTGTAAGCGAACAGCATGGATCCTGATCAGACTGCGCGGATGCGCAGGCTGGTCTGCATGGATCCATGCTGGTCGCAAACCCATTATGTTGGTTTTGTCGTGACGCGGCTCATTTTTAACAAGTTATTGATAGGTTTCACGAGAATTTCTTTTAACTACTTCTTTACATTTAACTAGGTTTTATTTTCATGTTAAACCAGTATCTTTTTAGCTTCTTCTTGACATTTAAATATTAGCAGGTCTATTTCCACAGAATTCACAATTATTTCACGGACAGGTTACAAGTTTTTTTTTCACAAAGTTTGGAAGTATTTCTTTCAGCTAGTTATTGCCATATAACTATGTCTTTTATAGATTCTACAAGTATTCCTCTGGAAATTTACGAAGTTCTTGACTGGTTTTACAAATACAATTGTTTTTCTTTTAACAGATTATTGACATTTAATAAGTTTTGTTGGTTTGTTTTGGCATATTTAACTATTTTTTTTTCCTTTCGAAATTTTTACCTAGTTTTAACTGGATTTGCAAGTATAAAACTTGTTATTGACATTTTTATAGATCGCAAGTATTTCCATTAGCTGGCTTTTGAAACTTACCTAGTTCTTGACGGGTTTCATAAGTATTTCTTTTAACCCATTACTGCATGAGCATTTTGTGAAAAACGGCTGTTTTCATTGAAAAGTATCCCGTTACAAGTTCAAATTGCAATAAAACTATAAAAACTGCTTTAATACTAATCAAACTTGGCACATATGTTGACTGGACCATTGCCATGGTAACAACATGCTCAGTCTTAAATTTCCTGCCTGGAGATTGCCATGGCAACGAGGGGACATCTCAAAAAGTCATCATTTTGCGTTGATTTTTTCCATCAATATTGATTTCAAAGTGCTGTAACTTCTCAATGGAATGAGATAGAGTCAAAGGCTTTTCAGCGTTTGTTACACGTTACCTTATGATCGACCTGGGGTCATTTTTAGTCTCTAACAAGTCTAAATTTGTTTGGAGATGAGGGGGGCTGCCGCCACCCTTTAAACCCTCCAAACAGAAGGGGTCACATCCCCCTTCTGGCAACCCCCTGATGTATCTTTTGAATAGGGGACGGCGCCGAAAAAATGGCCACAACATTTCTCAAACAAAATCAAGTGTTGGGGGCCTAAATAAGGCAATTTTTCACCATTCGAGACAGCAAAAAGGGGAGGGGTGAAAAAGGTTTCACAAGTATTCCTTTAACTTTAAGCTAGTCTTTGATATACAGGTTTAACACGAGTCTTATTTTTAGCTAGTTTTTGTCATTCAACGAGTTTTATTTTTTACTTTTTCTTCAATGGTTTTACCTGAATTTTAAGATACTTTATGACGCAGTCTCAAGTGTTTTTTTCAGTACTTGAAGGTTGAGCAAGACATTTAATCTTTGTTACAAATACACAACACATTGGCAGAATTAGGTAAACGAGATACTTAAAAACTTTATTCCCATGTTAATACATGAAGTGAAGAAGTTTAGTAATGTATACAGACATTGATGATTTCTTGTTTAAAAGATAACACATTTCATTTTTTTAGGGGACGTTTCAATTGAATGGAAGGCAGATAGGTCTCCTACAGGACATATACTGAACCGATATGTCCCGGAGTTTACCATAAGAGGGAACATTCTGCAACAGTTTTACAGCAAATGGACAATAAGCGTCAAGGACATTACAAAATACGTCGACCACCAACGAAGATTCATCGGATCTGGTCTCCTTAAACGTACATGGACACCAAAAGAAATAGTTTACAGATCTGATTTGTCTGAACAATGTGTAACACTTGACATTGAAAATAATAACCTTCATGATGATGTTGATGATGATGATGTTGATGATGATGATATTAAACAAGGCTGTCCAGAAATTTTAGACATAACCCTTGCAGATTCCTCAGATTTATGGAAAAGCATCAGTGACCCTAGAGAAGCTATTCTATACTTGTACGGCGCTTTTAATCCGATACATTTGGGTCATGTCAACGCCATTTTGGCAGGCAAACGTTGGCTTGAAACTGAAGGAAAATATACGGTATGCGCCACAAGAATAGCGTTGGCGTCGGATCCTAATATTAAGCAGAAAAATGCAAACTCTGGGGATTTATGTATTAAGTTTGAGCACCGTTTGAAACTTTGTGAGCTAGCTTGCAAGGACCATGATTTTATCAAAATCTGCCCTTATCCATTTAACTCACAGTCTACGGTCGGGGAAAAGACACGGAAGGAACTTGATAAACCCGATGCAACATTAGTTCCTCTGATGGGGTCAGATCGAGCGTATCTAAATAAAAGGCGACTAAAGGCCTACAGGGGAGATAACAAATTTGTTTTATGTGTTGGCCGTAAGGGAATGAGCAAAGCAGAACGTGACACATTTGAATGCGCCGAGAAAATCCTTCCAACGCTTTCCTACGATTTCTTCGTCGTTCCAACCGAGTTTAATGAAATAAGTTCCACTAAAGTTCGGCAAAAATTATCACAGATGAAGGGAAATCACTCTGAAGGGAAGCATGGTTCTAAAAACAATTCACTGATTATGAAAGAATTGGTAAAACTCGGATGGATATCAGACAGGGAAGGGGATTATATATGTGAAAACATTAACACTTTGTTTTTCTAAACTTTTTACCTACTGAATTTCTTCAATTAACTTGCACAGTTTCCATTGTTGAAACTTGACGCAAAACCTTATTGTTCTGACCTGAAGTTTTGGCCGAATTGTGGCCCCTAGAAGTTTATCAGAATGCTTGTTTACCATTACTACACGACTGATTAAAAGAACAAACAAACTCTACACGTTACTAAAAATCTCCACTGATGTCAAAAACCTAAAAATATATTATTTAAATTTTCTTGTGCAGATCAATTGTATGGTGGCATATTTCTGCCACCAGATAACCATAAGAGGTTAACTAGTTACGTAACTAGTTAATTTTTTCAATAAATAAAAGATCATAATGGGAAATAAATGCATGTAAGTACCAACTTTTATTATTTTACCAGCTTAATATTAAGTGGTTAACTAGTTACGTAACTAAGTGATTAACTAGTTACGTAACTAGTTAACAACATAACTAACTAGTTAATGAAGATGGTTAACTAGTTACGTAGTATGGTTATCTGGTGGCAGAAATATGCCACCAAACAATTGAGCTACTCAAAACAGAAAGATGTTTAAATGATAATTAAAGAAATATACACAAAAATAAATTGAAAAAAAAACGTATTTTGTTTTATTTTTTACACTATTTAAGTCTGGAAAACGAAGTAAGCGAATGATTTGAAATTTTGCACATAAGTAATTGATCTAGACCTACATCAAAAGGAACTTTAAATCGAACAAATATTTTCAAACCCGTAATGTCAAGAAGAATATTCGAGGCGTCGTCGAGTAGTAGATTCCTTTTTGATTCTCATTTTCTTCACGATTGGACAGTCCAAAATACTATTGTTAACAAAAATGGTTTGTTCTCTTCCAAACGGTGTGATTTTTTTATTTAGTCTGTACCCGCGATGCACGATGGCACGACGGTTAAAACGCAATGGTACGATGGTGAAAACGCGATGATACGATGATGAAAGCGCGATGGTACGATGGTGAAAACGCGATGGTACGATGGTGAAAACACGATGGTACGATGGTGCAAACGCGATGGCACCATCGAACCATCGCGATTTCGCCATCGAACCATCGTGTTTTCATCATCGTGTCATCATACCATCGCGCTTTGTAGGAGCACATTTGTCTCGGAGCACATTTGTCTTACGTAAGACCGATGCGGTCGCATTTGTCCCACATGAGACAAATGGGACCTCAAATGTCTATCCCAAAAAACTCTTTTGTGTGACAAATGTGCTCCGATCAAGTTTTTTAAGGGACAAGAAAGCACATTTGTCTCATGTGTTTTTAAGGGACAAGAAAGCACATTTGTCTCATGTCATTTTTTATAAATTATTTGTCACATATGTCCCCACGGCAGAAATTCATTTTTAGAATCGAGGTTCACCGTTTTACCTCAAGTGTAATCACCAATATGTTTGCTTATGCTTTCTTTATGAAAACCTACAGTGAACTATTAATTATAATATCTCTAATTCAAGAAATTGATTGACTTAACCTGAAGACGTACACTGAAACATACTAAATCCCGTTCACGATGGTACAATGGTGACAGCGCGATGGCACGATGGTACGATGGTGAAAACACAATGGTACGAACGTGAAACAACGATTGTACGATGGTGAAACAACGATTGTACAATGGTGAAACAACTAAGGCTTAATGATGAAAACGTGATGGTACTATGATGAAAGACGATGTTACGATGATGAAAATACGATTGTACGATATGATGAAACTGCGATGGCATGATGATGAAAACGCGATATTATTTTCTCTATCGTCTCGTCGCATCATTGTGATTTCACCATCGTGCCATCGTGTTTTAATCATCGTACCATCGTACCATCTCAATTGCACCTTTGTACCATTGTGCATAGCTGTTCAGGGAGACAAAAATGTTACTTATGTCCAAACGGAACATCATAATCGGTTGATATTGACTGATACAATATCGTGACTCGTTACGCATCTCGCCGAAATCTCGCGTCTCGCGAAATCTCGCGTCTCGCTTTGCATCCCGTTCGTCTACGCGAGACAAGAAATTCCATATCATATACCGCTAAGAAGTACTTATTCCCTTTATAGTCTACATAAAACCACTTAAAGGCCCATTATGCCTGAGAAATGCTTTTATTTGTATTCCTCAAAAGCTTTTCATTTCTGGTATACTTCTTAGCTCCAAAAAGTTACTCATTGGCTAATTAGTTGACGCTGCTGTTTTGCAGTTTATGTTGAAGTGATTTAGTATTTTTATTGAAGTCAAAGTACTACATTGTTTACATTATGCTACTTTTATGACGAATTCTTTCACATTTATCGCGAATTTCTTTGGGTTACAAGCATCTAACTTCCTCAGAAATCATTATTTGAATATTAATAAATTCATACTTGCCATATCTAAACAAGTAAACATTTATTCATTTCTGAAATCTCTTGGTACGGGATATTTCGACATTGCGAGATCTCCTGTTACAATATCGTGCCTCGCTTCGTGTCTCATGGGAATGTCGCGTCTCGCCCGATTCTGAGTGGCCCGATCTTCCATAATTATGGCATTACCCAGATTATTTTAGGAACTCTTGTATGTTGTAAGTGCCTTTTCAATGACGAATCTGAAAGCCGCAATTCTTGGAAAATGACGACTTTTTTACATTTATCTCGATGAAAACGAAATACGTGTGTAATGGTCTTCTTATTTTCTCCATGGATCATTTAAGGGCCTCCGTGGCCAAGTGATTTCCAAAAACCACTTGCCCCTAACCGGGGCGTCGAACTATTCATGCGAGGATCCCGGTCAGGGTCCAAATGCGCAATACATATGCACGTGCGCGCGTAATAGCTATCGCGTGCGCACGAAATAGTATCGCGTGGCCACGGAAAAAGCTATTATGTGCGCACGTTATAAAAAAGAAAATTCTATACCCCTTTATGCCACCGTAGATACCACCTTGTTTTTGCTAAGAATATTGCAAGTGCCATGAATCATCTATTAAACTTTAAGCAACCACAATTGATAAGAATAGACTTGCAGCAAATGTGTTTAGGTTCTGGATGCTGCACTTGTAGAAATTTTCATTGTGACATGCAGAACAGGGATATTCTTTAATTTAATATATGACAGAGGCAGGAAGTTTTTGACTGACCGGAAGTGACCTCAAAACGGTATTATAAATACAGAAAACACAGAACAATGGCTGGTAGCCGGTATACAGATTGACATAATTATTACCTTTTAAGAATTTTATGGAAAAAATGTGAGACAAATGTGCTTCGAGTGTCCTTTCTATTGTGTGTCGAACACATCTGTCTCATTTCCAATTCGTCGCAAATATGAATGTTTACGAACACATCGGTCACACTTCGTGAGACAAATGTGCTCCGAGACAAATGTGCTCCTACAGCGCTTTCACCATCGTACCATCGTGCATCGCGGGTAGGGAAGAAATAAAAAATCACGATTGTCCAAACGAAACACGCACTTCCTCTACTTGATTTCGATGCGTTTAATAAAATAACATAATGATCAATCGAAAGACTAATTATCTATCCGAATATTGACGGAAAAGGCCGAAAAGTGATTGCATAATGATAGTCAATCGGACATCCTCGGCTATTATTCCTAATAACTTAACCGAAGACTGACGGAAAGGGCCGAAAAGATGCGATTGAATGGTTAGTATCTGGTTGTCATTCTGTTTAATATTTGACAAACTATTCTATAATAATGTTTATTTACATGTGCACATGCATAATTGCATATCACTACAAATATACAAACTCATAATATTATTCAATAAATGAATGGAAAAATCGATATGTAAAACACTTTTGTAGATGAGATTTTTATAAATGATTTAAGGAGCTGTTTCAACACATCTTTCAACCCTTTTTTACATAAAATATAACAAATACAAAGTGTGCGTTGGTGCGTGCGTGCGTGTGTGTCTCTATACTTTTCTTTGATTTGATGACGACTAGGTTGTCTGAACCAAAAAAATATTTTTTCTTGGTTAAAAAAATGCCTAAATTGAATGTTTGGCGTTTGATCGGGCTGCGCATTAGAGAAATTATTGGTAACACTAACAATATTTTTTTTTTTGGGGGGGGGGGGGGGGGGCGGCGTTTAATTCCTTTTTTAAAAATAAATAATTACTGTTTAATAATTTCTAGAAATAATCACCCCAAAAAAAATATGATATGTAAGTAAATTAATTAATTGATACAAAAAATACAAAAAGAAATCTAAAATAATAATAATAAATAATAATAATAATAATAATAATAATAATAATAATAATAATAATAATAATAATAATAATAATAATCAAATAATAATAATAATAATATTTGGCCCGAAACCTGATGGGATGTAAAGTGACTGTCCATCTGTGCAGTCGGACCAGGCCCTATACTGCTAGTTGATATTAAAATCACTAAAATCTTTAAATGGACTAATCCAAATTTAAAGCGGTGCAAAGCCCTTTCATAACTTCTGCAAGATAAAATGGTTAAACAATGTCTTATGTTTCCGATTGATTTCATCTGAATATAGCTAATCATTGTAGAGGCTTTTCTTTCAACAAATAATAGATTTTTAATTGTGAACAAAAGGTTATATGAAATAAAATATCAATTAAATTTCCAATACTTTGATTAGATCAAAAAGAAAAGTATTCATTAGTTAAACCAAGTCGTATTAGTGTACAGTATTTAAGGGATGTTACGATCGGTCGAATGGTCTGTGTCCACAAACTGTTTTTTCGCGTGATGCTAATTCGGCATTTTAATTCTTTCTGGCCGGAGTTTTTTAGGAAATAAAGCTTGTGAATTGAACGATTACTTTTCGTGTGCCTGACGTAATACTAGGTCTCGCATGAGAGAGATACAACATGTATATACGTAATAACGTCTTGTTCTGAACATGAACAGTTCAAACTATATAGACAGTTCAATAGTTAGCTTGATTGGGATTTTACGTTCGGAATACTTCCTCCAGCTAAAGGGAATGAAAGTCAAAATTAAAAGAGATTAACAGAGAAAGTTTTGAACGGTTTTATTTTAGTTTAAATTTACACACCAAGTTAAGTAACAATTTCGACCACAAAATGATTAACATTAATATCCAATCATTATTTTTACTGGGAATTATGATCGGTACCATCAAAGCCGAAACGTACGAAGATGTTTCCAATCTTCGATCAACTTTGCTGACGTCATACAATGCTGATATGCTCCCAGTAAATGATCAGACCAGGAGCTTAAACATAAATTTATCTACGATGGTGTTTACAATGCCGGAAGTTGACCCAGTGCTCGGAGCCATAAAGATGGGCATCATGGTCACACAGGAATGGTACGATGAGAGATTAACATGGACACCGTCTGATCATAACGGAACCATGGTGTTCTCCATGAAAGCCGAGAATATCTGGACTCCACCTCTAACTGTTTCCAATCCTGTAACATTCACATTACTAGATACGCCATGGATGCAGGCTACAATCATGTTCAACGGCAAAGTAATGTTTACAGTTGGGGGAATCATACAGTTCTCGTGTTCGTTTTCTATGAAGTTCTGGCCATTTGATAAACATATCTGTACTTTGAATTTATTCCCTTACGGGTATATGGCCAGCAGAGTAACATTCTCTGTACCCGGAACCATCGTTGATACCGGAATTTATTCGGAAAACGGTGAATGGTATTTAGATACGAACTCATTTGACTACGAATTAGGAACCGTTTTTGGTATGAGTGAAATTGTGTATAGCTTTAAGATTGCACGACTCTCGTCATTCTATATGCTAACAGTTATTCTACCAATTAATGGTATTGGAATGCTTACATGTTTGGTATTTCTTCTTCCCTCCGAGTCCGGTGAACGGGTGAGCTACGCAATAACAATTATGTTATCCCTTGCCGTGTTTCTGACGGTCACAGCCGAGGATCTTCCGAAAAATTCCAAGCCAATTCCCATCATTTGTGTATACATTCTGTTTAACTTGATTATATGTATTCTTGGACTTCTATTCGTCGTTTTGAACTTGATTATTTTCAACAGAACTAAAAAAGTGAAGATGGCGGAAATTTACAAATCTATTGTAAGATTTACGAAGAGAAAATCGTTACGGCGTAAAATTAGAGTGGAGCCATTACGTAAAAATTCTACGGCTAAAATAAATGTTAAAAGCAGGGAGCCGGTTAAGGTGTTTGAACATAGAAGAGCAGACGAAGATATTGAATGGAAAGATGTCAGTGATGCGATTGACAAAATCCTTTTCGTTCTATTTGTGGTTGTCACTTACATTCCGTCCATTATAATTCTTATATACACAGTGGCAGCATCTGAATATGTTAGAGGTGAACAATAAAATGCTAATACAAAAGGGAAACAACAATAACGTTTTATTGCATTATAAGGCATCCGGCCCAAAGAACATTCAAAATCGCATCAACTTTAGTTGTAGAGTAATGAGGTAATCAAAAAAAAAAAAAAAGAATTCCGTATGAAACAAAACATCAAAAAAATACAACAACGACAAAAACAACAACAACAAATTAAGTGCCGGATTCTAAAGTCTGTTTCCCAAAACTTTCTGAACAATGTGGATATTGCTCGGCGGATAATGTTCATGAAGCTACATAAACCAATCCCTTAACAGATGTCTTTTTTTTCTGAGTAAATTGCATGCACAACTTAATAAATACTATATTAGTATAAAATATTCATTTATTTTGTGTAAGTCATTTTTATCATAAAGAAAAAACTTTTCATAAAATCTTTGAAATCTGAAATGAAAATTTCTCTTTTTAGCAGTTTTTCGCCTTATTTTGCTATCGCTGTATATTTCATTATCATTAATTTTTAAAAGTCATTGTTCCCACAGGCATCTTCTTGTCATACTTTTGTTATGATTTTTACCGCCATACATTTTAACAACGTATTGTCGATGAACATGTACATGTTTATTCCAAATAAAACCTTTACTCTGTATACATTCGTTAAGTTTAGATTTTTTTTTAAATAAGTGACCTGTTATTAAATAGCTAACAAATGAATATTATTGAAATTTGAAAATCACATAACTACATCCCAACAGCTTAAATCATTCAGACTTCTTGACAGAAAATATAGTTTGTAAATTCTTTTTCATATACATGAGATGACAATGATCATCAGATTAGTAAATGCTTTTAAGTAAATGTATTCTTGTATTTCTTTGTATATCCTTACGCCAACACTGGTAGATTTACTCCACAGTTGTCTAAATTGCATAGCAACAACTAAAATACCCTTGGACTTAAGTGTAAAACTTGTCTTAAATTTTTTATCTGTGGAATAGTCAGCATTTGATTTTGCTAATATACTGTCTGACTGCGGCACTCCGTTCTCGTAAGTCTTCAAACATTTAATTCCCAAACACCCCTTTCCATAACATGAACACTACACACTACCATCAGGAGAGGCACCTAGATGAGGCTAACTTTTGTTTAGCGTTAATCCACTTTCTAAATTAAAAAAAATGTCATTAAGTATACATTTAAGTATAGTGCGATAATTTTGGTATGTATTTCTGGCAAATGCCTCCATATCTAAACCATATTTGGTTGCTGACGTAGAAACGCGTCTATGATTTAATATTTCACTAACTATTGCCGATCTTTCTGTTGTGTCTCGCAAAGTGAAGATACGGTGCATTCTACTTCAGGTGACTCACAAAGCGAACTTTGTGACTGTTTAACAGTCATTTGTTCTAAGTTAGAAACTAATTCAACGAAGAGCTGTTCACTCAAAGAAGAAAGTATTTCGTCTGGTGTCATTTATCTCGTACTCTAAAGAATTAATGCTATCTTCAATAGTTTTCGGGATTTTGGTGCTTTTTTATTTTTGACTTACAAACGAGTAAATATTGCAGCATTAGGCTGGATACATTTTACAATTTAAAATGCAACATGTAGAAATACTCGCGCTAGATTTAGTCAATGGCTGCCTTACATCATCTCCATTTTTTTGCCTCTTGAAATCTCTGCACGACACAGGGTCTTGGTCTGCCTTTCGACTTGACATATCATGACAAAGTGAGCTTGTACTTGCAGTAACATTAAGACCCATTCGGATAGCGGCCTCAACCCTGTAATTAAGCTATGACTGCTGCATGGCTACACGCTTAACAAGCTCTGTAAAGTAAACGGAAAATAATTAGGTTTACATAAAAATTACAAATGTACACCTGTTAATGAAGAATATGACTATTTGAATAACAAAAAAAATCATGTCAATTTTACTGATTGTGCAACATTCCAGCTCCGAAATAACAGGAGAAGAAAGCCCCTCCCCTCTTTTGTTTAACTTTCTAGAAATGTTAATTCTTTCGCGTTTTTTTTACTCTTTTAGTTTTTTATTATATTTGACTGTGTCATGAACCCAAAATCTCGATCAGTATCCAACCAGTCTAAAATGCCTCCTACGGGTTTGCATTCCGACAAATTCCTGCATCCAAGCAATCCCCAATGATCCTCCAATCTCAGATAAATCAAGTAAGTGTAAAGTAATCTTATGAACTTATACTGCCATACAGGTGCACTTGGTTGTGAGGATTTGACCATCTTTTCTCACTGTTTTTTCATTGTGTGTGTTTTGTACCCTGTCGCTGGCTTGGCAACACTTCAGCTACTCCTCAATCCCTGCGTCATAGAACAGAACTGGCTGCACATGTCCACTTATAAAGTACTGGTACCCACCCATAGACTAGTAACATTTCATTTGCTCATTTGAATAAAACTGCTACTTTAATTAAATGAAATAGTTGTAGATATCTGGGTAGCCAATATCTGGCCAGAATTTTGGATCACTTATCCAAGTCTTTTTTGTCAGTAATAAAAGAATCGCTGCAGATTTGGCTAGTCTTTCCAAATAAACAACTAAATCACTTTGTGACAGCCTTTAAGCATATTCATATGTTTTCAGCTGATTAAAATCCTAAGACATGGCCATTTTTAGCATATGTAGAATCCTTTCAACTGAATGTTATACGAACTTTGGCTTCTAACAGTCTTCTGCCCACCACCCCAGAGATGACATGTGATCAGTAATGATATGCAGCGTTTCTTTGAAAGGCGTCTGTTGTCTCCTGCGTGGCGGGAAATTTACCACGGAGCGAAAGTCAGAGATGTCCACAGAAACATGTCAGAAAAGATTAATAGCCTCAAAAATTAAAACATTGCTGATGGGAACATGTTTTTGGCAATGGGGGAAAAAGAGGATATTTAGGTCTCACTCAAAATCCCTGATCACTTAAATATAATAACTTTTGAACCATTCGACTTATAATCGCAAGGTTGATCTAGGCTTGTAAATGACCCCGTAAATTTTTTTGTCAAACTCACAATTACCTTAAACAAGATTTCGTAAAAACGAATAAATATTTCGTAAAAGCGAATTCATTTCGTAAAAACGAATAAATATTTCGTAATTACGAATTATTATTTCGTAATTTCGAATTTTTATTTCGTAATTACGAATTAATATTTCGTAAAAACGAATTAATATTTCGTAATTACGAATTAATATTTCGTAAAAACGAATTAATATTTCGTAAAAACGAATTAATATTTCGTAAAAACGAATAATTATTTCGTAAAAAACGAATTACTATTTCGTAATTACGAATGAATATTTCGTAAAAACGAATTAAATGCCGGGGAAAAAGTGTCGAAAATGTCAGGGGCTCCGTATGTACGAGATAAATAGCTTGGAGTATTTTCGTGAATAGCCTTGCGTAAATTCACGAACATTTTGTAAATGAAATCAATAATTTGCAATGTATATAGGTTCGATTTATAGGTTAATTTTGGGGAGAATGTAACCATCTTAGATCCACGAGACTTTTGGCAGGCACATGTGGTCATAGATACCTATCTTATACTCCCGTATATCCCGCCGGCATGATGTTACATTACTAGACATATTACGTAATAATAGTGTCGTTGCTATGGTTACGGATAGCCGTTCTCCAGCATAAAACAATTATCACCACTGGTCAGTGTAGACTCGCTATAGGTCTACTTACTTTGACTTCTCAAGTATAGAAATATCTTAAATTTAAAATAAAATAATATTCATTTCCGTATATGATTCTTACTATAATAATCGGACAAGAAATGTTGCACAGAATGAAATGTTTTATGTTCAAAACAAAAGTTTAAAGGTAAAACGTTATAAAGTTATGAGAACTTTTTGAACCTTGAGCTATACTATATGTAATGATGCCAAAAGTTCTAAAAATAGACCAGTAATCCTGCAGAGCTCGACCGAGTTTATTTCCTCATTTCCTCGCATATCTTTGTAGATAAAAGTAAATATAAAGTGTTGGATTTATCTTTGAATATATAGAAACTACCGGTATTTATGTATAATATTTTGTACTTCTAGGCTGTATATTTTTGTAAAGCACATATCTTTCATATATTTTAATTGTCCTGGCACGACAAAGACACACTTATAGTTTATTTAATATAATTATTATCAAAATTTCCATCATGTATTCAAGGGCATATTTAGGTCCTATATGTAAATGGGAAAAAAAAATATGTAACAGTTATCAAGTCGAAGTAAATTAGCTTTTAAGTAAATTGAAGTAAACATTTAAAGATAATGAAATTTATTTACTAACTATAGAACTTTTACAGGACTACATGTACAAAAGGCCAATTATAGACGCTACATCAATACATAAATATACATATATATTATACCAGATGATCTACGAAATTTTCTTGGTATCTTATATATGATGACTGCCAATGTTTATATTACAATATTCAATGTATATTTATGCTCACCTCATTGTATTTTCATTGCAATTTCATGTGTGTTGTATAATTGTATTGTGTCGTATTTTGAGCCGAAGGCCTATGTTACAAGAATAAACTTTTTAATGTCCTCCTCGCAGTATTTGCATCTGACAGGTACTCTCTCAAAATTAATGGCATTACTTATAGCATCAACAGTATCATTTCTTTCAAAAAATTACACTTGTCAATAAAGTCAACCTCTCTGCAAATTCTTACTGTACTGCAGTGCTGTAATTTTAATTAATATTCTTCTTTTTTTTCAGCGTTAATTTCATCATGAACGCCGCAACACGTGTTTGTGTAGCAGTGATTGTGCTTTGCCTGCTCGGTAAGAAATTATCTTCGTTATTAACAGAAAAATCGGTACCTAAAGCTGCATACCTCCAGATGAGCTATATATATTTCAAGAAAATCATTCTTGAATAAAATGCTTAGAAAAGTAAAATTTTCAGATCCATGCAATAATTTTCATGTTATGTGCGATTAAGGACTGGATTTCAATATTTATCACTACATGTTTACTGCATGCTTAATGCAGGTACTGTATTTATCACCATATTTCTACTGCGTTACTAACGCAATAAATAATATTTTCGCTTATTTTGGTAGTTTATGTGGATTGTAAGAACTGTTTGCAATGAGTAAATTACTTTGTTTATTTAATTCACAAATATTTTACTTTTAAATACATTTTAAAAGTTTTCATGAATGTTATCATGAATCTGGAGGCATGCAGCTTTAGCAATAAATGAGAGCTAGTGTAGTGCACAAGACTTTTTGGCAAGTAACGGACCGCGTTAACAGTCTTAACTTAACACACGTCTGAAATCGCACATCTGAAATGAATTTATATGAAATTAATAAATAAATAAATTTATTTAATAAATAAACAAGCAAGCAAACAAACAAACAAACAAATAAATAAAATAACTTATTTTCATCGAGTGGTATGAACTATGATAATTGTCATATCACAGTTGGAAAATAAATTCTGTATTTATATATTTACAAAACTTTATTGTTCTTTTTATTACATACCTTTATACATTTTCTCCTTATTTTTGACATTACAATTCGAAAGATTACTTTAATTTTGTCTATGGACTGAATTATGAAGAAAGTAGTCCGGCAAGACACCACTGAAAATACGTTTAAATCATTATTGGTGTCATTTCAGCACAAGCTGCCGACACTGAAGACCAGAGCGCCAGACCGAAAGACAACTTTGATGATATGCACCATTCTTCACATCCATCTTGGAGAGACCAGGTTAGTCTATATTACTGTTTATGTATGCATAATGCTTAGAACTTTTGTTAATTTCTTAAATTTTTTCTTTTTTCTTCAGAACTCCGTCGAGAGTACATGTACGTTTGATTTAGTTTGTAAACGCATTGGGTTTCTTTCATCAATGCTATGTACGTCCGTCCAGTCAGCGACATCAGAAATTGCTGCACTTTTATTAAATTATCTCAAATGAAAATGTACCAAAGAATCGATGTTGACGGGGAGAATATTGTATACAAACAGGGCTACTTTGAGTTATAAGAATTTACCCACGAACGTGTCTAGCTGCTTTAACTTGTGTTCAAATGTTAGGACAATTTATTTCTTTTGATTTCAGATTATGGTGTCTGCCGGAAGTGACGTCAGTACACATTATTTATTGACTTTTGTCCTTACCGTTTTGGCAATGGCACATGTTGCCTTTCGCTAGTTACTGTTGTGGTTCACAATTAAAAGGTTTGGTATAATTTTATAAAGTTTATACATACATTAATACATGATAATAGTTCAAATTCGGTTGATTCGTACTACCGATCTCTCTAACAAATTTGCGCAGACCCTTCGAAGTCGAGCGAACAAAGTTTGACTGTATGTAATCTGTTATGGCCAATGAGATACCTTTTATCGTATTAATTCAAGTTTACTAATTTTAAGCATTTGGGCCTGTGACACCGTACCGGATAGTTACGGAGATTCGAATTTCCGCTTTTTCCCATCGACATCTATTTCTTATCCGATTTTCAATCAGCCGATACTACATGAGAGGACCGCGCGTAAGTCTTGGATTATTCTCCAAAGGACAATAGTACACACTACATACCGAATTATACGTTGTTCAATGTGTTTCATTCATCAATTGCATGTTCCTTGTCCAGTTTTTGTTCATTTTGCATTCGTTAACCAACTTTGGTCTAGGAATTACAGTTTTAATTAATGTATCCACAGTTCAACAGGAGATGTTCCCTACGCTAAACACATTATATAACTAACTATTGATAACTATTTAGTTTGTCATGTGCTTGAAGTTTGTTTCATTCATTTTGATATTCGTAACTCGTAGGTTAAATTTGTAAAATAGTCGTTGATTGTATTGTACCAGTGATCATTTCGCTCTATACACCGAACACGAGCGGATAACGTTCCTCTGTATGACGTCCGTTAAAGTTACCCTGTAACACCGTAGGGAACGTGTTACAGTATCGCGTATTTCGGTTACAGTATAGAATTTTCAAGATGGAGGATTATTTATGGGAAGAGATGTAGGTGATTTTAATTCAGGTCCATACTACAAGTAGTTTAGTTTCTAATAGATGTTTTTGTGCTTTGCTTGTAAGGAACAGAATCCTGTATCTAGTCATATATTTCTTCAAACCCTGCACCGCAGATTTATCTCTGTTTTGTCTCATAAATGTGCAGATTTGAAGGTTTAAAATTTTGAATCGAGAGACCAACGAATTTTTTCCCCATTCCGACATTATTTAAGCATGCCTAAATAAAGTAAATCTACAAAACGTTAGTCCTTTGTGTTTAGAAACGTTTATAAAAGTAAATGACCAGTTGAACCTATTTTCCTGTTGGTAAAATGCGTTTGAAAAAATAAACAATGTTACAGTATAGAGCGAGGTTAATTTTGAAGAGTTACAGCATAGATCTAGCGACTTTGATCCAATTTTGTTACAGTTTATACCCAGATTTCGGTTACAGTTTAGATACTTTCCAAATTTCAAACAAAGTTCGTGTATCCATTTTTTTATGAAATAACTCATACCTTTTTATTTAATACATTCTTGAAAGGTTGTATTACTTTTTTTTTCTTCAGCAGAATAGTTATAGTTTGCTATTTTTCTTACTTTAAGTTTCAGATTGAGACTTTTTGCAGAATAAGTAATGTCCTAAGTAAGGACTGTTTTCACGACAACAACAGTAACTTTTATCGAATTGTATTGAGAGAAGAAAGATTATTGCTTGATTTCATTACACATTATAATAATGCCTATTAGTAATAAAATAGAGAAAAAAGAATCCTTAACAGAAGTCCAACACGGAAAACATGAAAATGTTGCAGGATCAGTTTGATTGAGACTGTTCATGGACGGTAGTGGTAACTGCAAGCTACCGTCCACGTCTCCTAGCACCGGCGTCAGCAGAATTCACATTAAACATGAACTGGTACACTTTAGATTTTGTTAACATCTGTGGATGTGTTCATATGGCGGTTATCATGGAACCTTCAATGTGACACGTTATTGCCATTCTATGAAAAGCGGCATATTACCCCAAGGTTAAAAAATTCGTGTGCCCTAAACGAGAAAACAATGATTGAAACTAAATAAAATGAAATTTTGAGAGGGGATCGGAGGTTATGAAGCCTGCATACCATAGATTAGCTGTCAAAAGACACAATTAACAAGCAGGCAATACCCCAAGAATGATTAAACAGTATTTAAGTGAGCAATATTTCAACCTTAAATTTTATTTCAAGTTGGAATTTCCATCTACCATAATGTATTTTGTAAGTAATTAAAAGGGTTTGTTACGTTTGGCTTTCTTGGATTTTAAGTTTCAACGACACAGAGGTCATGTGAAAACATTCCTGCTTTAGTGTAAAGATCGAAAGACCCACAATTTCTTTGTGAAGCATTTCAGACACGAGCGGGCACCTGACTAAAACCACCGACCTTCCGTAAATTAGCTTGATAGATTCCTCACATACAAAGAATCCCAAGTCATGATTGGATTTCAACTACAGCAGTAAATGAAAGCTAATTTGAAGTCGACGGCCTTATCCGGACTCTGCCACTTTCAGGCTCACTAGAGAAGATATTGTAATTGTCTGACCTTAATTTATACTCTATAACTTTCAATATTATTTTCTTTTTCAGAAACATGAAAACTGCTATACAGAATGTCTGAAATAAGAAAAAACGACTTTTTTAAAATTTAATAATGACAAATAATCGTAAATTCAACAAAGAAGCATTCGAAATGAGGCCATGATCATGATTTGATTTGAATGCTTTTGGTTCGAGACGATAAGGGTCTTTAAACATTGCCTTTTTTCAAAATCTATAATTTGGGTTTTCGTATCCCCGATTGCAAGCGAAACCATTTGAACAACTAATTGGTAGAAGGTCATGTAAATTTAATCACATTTAGTCAAGTAGTTACTAAGGGGATGAGATTGAACACACATGTGTACGACAGACGGACGAATAGCCATCGGGCCAATAAGCTCACAGAGATTTAAAAGTCTATGTAACATTCATACATTTTACCTAGTATATATAGAAAATATCGAAGTCTAAACTGTAAAAGAAATCTGAGTATAAACTGTAACAAAATCGGATAAAAATCGCTAGGTCTATGCTGTAACCCTGCACAAACCACCTCGCTCTATACTGTAACATTGTTTATTTTTTCAAACGCATTTAACGAACAGGAAAATAGGTTCAACTGGTCATTTACTTTTATAAACGTTTCCTAACATAAAGGACTAACGTTTTGCAGATTTACTTTTTCTAGGCAGGCATAAATATTGTCGAAATTGGAGAAAAATGCGTTGGTCTCTCGATTCAAATTTTCAAACTGTCAAATCTGCATATTTATGAGACAATATAACGATAAATCTGCGGTGCAGGGTCTGAAGAAATATATGACTAGATACCGGATTCTGTTCCCTACAAGCAAAGCACAAAACATCTTTTAGAAACAAAACTACTTGTAGTATGGACCTGAATAAAAATCACCTACCTGTCTTCCCAACAAATAATCCTCCATCTTGAAAATTCTATACTGTAACCGAAAAACGCGATACTGTAACACGTTCCCTACGGTGTGTAAGATATGACTGATCCAATAGCAGTGTCAGTTAGTCAAAATGTTGTTTATAGGGCATTATGACGACAGCAGTAATTAAACATGTATATTTTTGCTTGGAAATTTCTTAATATCGCAAGGACAGGACATAAAAAGTAATCCGGACACGGCGGAACACTACCCGAAATCCTTAAATCGGTTTAAAGCAGCACGCGCACGATGAACCAAAATATATAAGAAAAACAAACTTGAGGAAAACGCAGCAAAGATTTTTTTAAAGTAGAAAAATTAAAGATTTTAAAATTATAATTTACATGTTATGTGGTTTTTATGACTAATTTTGCAGTATTTATCACCATATTTCCTCTGCGTGACTAAGGCAAATTGCATATTTGACCCTTTTTTTTTTTTTTTGGTAATTTACGTGAATTTTATGTCCCGTTTGCAATGTGTAAATTATTTTCTTTCTTTGTTCACTTCACAATATTTTAACTTTTAATAGGGTCTTTGAAATTCTATTTGAAAGACCCTGCTTTTAAATACATTTTCAAAATTTTCATGAAAAATTTGCAAGAATCTAGAGGCATGCTGCTTTAATACTTATCGAGGAATTGTAAATTTTTGACAATTCCAGTGACAAAGTAACCTAGTGAAGATGAGATAGAAGTTCGTCTATTGTAATATGCAATAATAATTAAAGACTGTTTTAGCAGAAGTTTGTCAAAAGAGCGGTTAGTTTTCGTACATAAAGAAATTGATACTTTTAATATAATTGTGTATTGATATTTTTCCTCTAATTTTCAGGGCACAATCCAGTCAACAGATAGTCGTTTGATGTAAATTGTTTCGGGATGAGTCGATTTTCTTCAGGGAGCATAAAACACTTTATCACCATATATTCTAACTTAGTTTGTATCGTCTAATATGAATATTGTTAAATAAAATCAGTTTTAGAAAAGAAAATGGGTTATATTTATCACACAATTAAAGGTAACATATTTTTAGTGAGAAGAGCCCAACTCCTTACAATGATTACCTCCCTTGGCAGATTGTACAGAAAATGGGAGACCACTGCGTATGAGATTGATGAAGAACTAAGTAAGCTAGTATGGATGTTGTGACGTTTTTGGTCCGTTGTTCGATATTATATAGGTGGGCGTAGGTTGTGCAATGTTTGTGGTCCGGTTATCATGTATTAAAATTTAATCGAGCAACGTCCAGTGTAAAAAATTCCAAAAACTTGTCACTTAGCTCTTGTGTGGTTGTACGGTAGGTAACTTTCCACCATGTACTTGGAAGTAAACGAACTCTTTACCATGCAGCTATAGAAGTTTTCCAGCCATATTCGAGTTTGCCCATGTGACTATGATGCAACTTGAGCGAAAATGTTATAAAAATTTTCACCAGTGACCTTGACACTAGAGACCCCTTACTCCACAAAAAATACACGGCCATTAAAGGTATTAGGTTAACCATACAAGGTCCTATTTTCAAAGTGAAAAAAAAAGGAATATAACTTGGGAAAATGAATGTCAGAGTTATATAACTTGCCTATATCATGAACTTTCTCTAAATAAGTAAGTGTGGAAATTATGACGCCATAAGTATAGACAGTACTTAAAAAATCCATCTTACCGGTTTAGATTCACGATATTTATTATCAAACTGCTGAAAATGGCAATAATTTGATGAAAAAATTTTGCAATAATTATGTAACTTGCCAGGATCAAGTATATTGTATTGATTAATAAATGTGTAAATTATGAAGCCATTTGTACGAGTAGATTTTAGGAAAAATCCAACATGCCATTTTATTATTTTGATTGTTCCATTTTTTATAACATGACACCAATTTTAGGCTGCCAGGCTCCTAGACTGCCAGCTTTAGGCTATTAGACTGCAAATTTCAGTGCCCTTAAGGTAAAGGCGTTTTTCCATAATCATGCATTTGTATGTGCTTTTGCAAGACCTTTCATAGTGATTTTACTGTATTTTAAATTGTTTCCATATTTATAATATAAGTCACTAACTTTAAGCTACTAGGCTGCCGACTTTAGGCTGTTAGATTGCCAACTTCAGGTTGCAAAGCTGACATCGATAGGCTGTTAAGATGTTAGGCGGCCTCCTCATGATACTAGGCTGCCAACGTTAGGCTTCCAGGGCGTTAGGCAAACTCCTAAGGCCCAGGTCGTCAGCTATTTAGGCTTCCTCTTCCGACTGCGAGACAATTTGCCTCCTCAGTCAACAAGGCCATCAAACTGCCACCTCAGGCAGCCAGACCGTTAGGCTGTCTCTTCTGCCAATTTTACAGACATGATTATACAAAATTATTTACAGAACAATGCCAATTTTGCAGTTTCATACAAAAAGTATACAATTGTATAATTATCAATATTTACTTGCATAATTTCAGCTAAAATCCAACGCAAAACAATATACATTCATGCGACATTTAACGTTAACATTGCGACATTTAACGGCAAATGAGTTTGCGATATTTAGCGGCGGTTGCGACACTTAGCGGCAATGGTGCGACATTTAGCGGCAAGTGCGACATTTATCGGCGTTGCGACATTTAACGGCGCCACATTGACTGCATCAGTTCTTTGAATTTTAGTGTCGGTCGATTGAAATATTTACTTGGAATTAGGCTTCTCCTACTAAAACAGAAGAAAGGGCATTTTAACATATAGTGGAATTCATCGGCAATATCATTTTGATTACATAAAGTGCATTTCCTTTGACCATATTTTACAAAGACTTGCGCCATCTGCCAGTTTGAAAAAGTGTCACAGTTAAATCATATACATACACATGCACAGTAAGTCAACTGGAGTGCAGGCATCAGTTACTCGCACTCCAAATCATTCCCGTTGAGAAATAAAGTTGATTTCTATGGTGGCTGATTTGGAACGTTTTTGTGCGCCGTCTTGTAGCTAGCAAAGCACGCCAAACGTCGCGTTGTCGTGTGGCGTGTTGTCGCGATGTCGCTCAAATCAAAGGATTGGCTTATAAGCCAAGCGACAAGACGTCAGTGCGACTAAAAGGCGATAACGATATAGGTTGTGTTGTCGCTATTGACAACGCAACGCGCAAAGTGTTCCAAATCAGCCACCATACATTATAAGCTATATCATTCTCGTAAATGAAATACATGGAAAAATATATAAAATAATGATTATTAATAAATTAAAAAAATATAAAAAAATAAATTAATTAAAAAGTAAACAAAAATAGAATAATTTAATTCAAGGACCTAATAAAAGTTTCACCCGTTGTGGGATTTGAGCTAACGACCTTCCGCATGCGAAACACGGACCTTAACCACTACTCTAACTGGCCATATATTATCTTTCAAATATTTTTCGTGACAGACAGACAGACAGACAGACAACTTTATTTCACTCAGGTATATCAAAGTATACAACATGAGGTTTAACAATATTTTGTAGCAATGATAGTGTCCGGTATAAAAAGTAGGTCTATAACATGAATGATACAATAATTATACAATAGGTATATATAAGTATTCATCCGATTGTGGGGGAACTCAGATGCTCCTCTGCACACACAAAACATTCTCACATGCATATAATTATATTGTTTACCATCACTGGTTATAGAAAAAAATACTGCTCAAATATGACATGTTAGGGAAAAAAACAACAGTAGAGAAAAAACAAAAACAGAATGTTTGCACAAGGTACGCCGCTGCATTCTAAGTAGTAAATCTAAAATAAAAGTAAGAGCTCGTGAAAATCGTGCATTCGCACAATAACGCCATGTTTACAATGAATTTTCTAGTCAGTCATTGTGATTTTAACGAAAGTAGTTCTTCACTGCTTAGAGGAAGAAAAAAACAAACAACAAAAGTAGGTCATAAATGCAAGTACTGACAACTCGTGCTGGATTTTTACTTAATTGTCAGACAGGTAAATAAAGTTTTTTGTTGTTGTTGTTTCTTTTTGTTGTTGTTGTTGTTGTTGTTTTTTTTAATTTAAATACAAATACTGATTAGGACTATTAAACAGGTACCGACTATGTTTTCAAACAAAAACAAAAAAATGACATGTTCATATCTACACACACGCAGAGATATCATTAGGGGAACAAAATAACAATTATATACATCTTAGGACATACCTTGAAATTTTAACATTATTATGCGTACAAATTTACACAACTTCATTAGAGTATATCCATTTTTACATGATAGAATATTTTGAAAAAAAGTAGGAAGTTTCAACTAAGTTGGGGATGTACAGATTTCTTTCAGAATTAAAAAAATGACAGTTTAATAAATAATATTGCTCAGAACCTATTTCTCTAGAGTTGCAGAGCTTGCAAATGTTATTTATTGTGTTATCACGAGACCATCGCGCTGTTTCTATTGGAAGGCGGTTATTACAAGTTCTAAATTTGAAAAGTGTAATGTAATCTTTTTTTTTTGAAGAATATTAAAGTATTTCTCATATTCTAGCACATGTTTAAATGAATTATAAATTCTCCCTTTATTGGAATTTTGTAGTAGACTTGCCCAGTGTTGCTTATATTGGTCTATTAGAGTTTGCTTGACAGTAATGTGCAAGTTTTTATTGATAATGAATTGTTGATTTAGCCAAATATCAGGTCTTCCAATTTGCGTCAATATTTATTTTATTTTATTAGTCCATTTAAAATTAGTGTTTGTTTGGTTAAGCATGTAGTAATAGATTTTTGAAGATAGTTTATTTTCTTTACCAAGAAGCAAACGTGTCCAGAAGGATATCATTTTTGTATAAACGTTTATATTGATTGGGTATCGGCCCAGTTCTCCATGTAGCATATACTTAGGTGTGCTTTTCCGCGTCTTAGGAAGGTGTTGTGTACTTTTTTCCAACAGATCAAGATTTTCATAACCGAATATTTCAGATCCATATGTTAAGATAGGAACAACAGTATTATCAAATAATTTCATAGCAAGATCCGGGGGTAAGTCGGCATTGTTTACTTTTGTAAATAAAAGATGCATTGCTTTATTAGCTTGTTGGCTGATGTGTTGTCTGGCTTTAAGGAAAGATCCGGTCGCTGAAAAAGTTAAGCCTAGATAGTGATAACTGTCGGTATTTTCCAGATTATGTTCTCCTAAGGTAAAATTATAGTTATTACGATTTCTACATCCGAATATTATGACTTTTGTTTTATTAGGATTTACTTTTAATTTCCATTGATCACAGTACTCGTTAAAATTATTTAAAATGTTTTGAAAATCAGAGGGATTATCTGAAACTATAACAGTATCGTCTGCATAGAGAAGAATCAATAGTTTAAGCCAAATTTCGTCACTGAAAACGTCATCTAGCTCTATGCCGACGGCACCGTTACCTTCCAGATAGGATTGTAGGTCATTTAAATAGAGAGAGAAGAGGATCGGACTCAAATTTTCTCCTTGTCTAACGCCTATTTCTGAGGAGAAGAAGTTGGACGTGTTTCCGTTATGAGAAACACATGACTTAATGTTTTGGTACATATTAAAAATTACTCTAAATAGTTTACCATCTATAAGGTTTTGGGTGAGTTTATGCCAAAGTCCAAAACGCCAAATTTTGTCAAAACATTGCGAAAAATCAACGAATGCACAAAAAAGTTTCTTTTTTCTCTTTTTCAGTATTTCAATTAATGCATACAATGTAAAAATATGATCTGAACAGAAGTATGATTTCCTAAAACCTGCTTGATTTTCATTAAGTAGTTCAGTATTTTCGATATAGCTTGTTAGCCGTAAGTTAATGACAGATGTAAAAAGTTTACCAAGACATGATAAGATAGTGATTGGTCTGTATGAGCTTGTATCCTTTGGGTTACCCTTGTTTTTATAAATAGGTATTATATAACCTTCAAGCCATGACTTTGGTAATAAACCAGAGTCTAGAACTTCATTAAACAGCTTATTATAAATAGGTAACAAAAGATCTTTAGTAGCT